CCCTCACGCTGATTGCCAAGGTCATCCAGAACCTCGCCAACCATGCTCCGTAGGTGCTGGGGAACTAGGGGTTGGGGAGGTACCATGCTGGGAGTGTGGGGGTGGCAGGCACCTGGCCTGACCCACCCAGCCTGGTCCTGATCCAGGTTCGGCGAGAAAGAAGCCTACATGGGCTTCATGAATAGCTTCCTGGAGGAACATGGACAAGCCATGCAATGCTTCCTGGACCAGGTGGCCATGGTGAATGTGGATGCCGCACCCAGTGGTTACCAGGGCAGCGGCGACCTGGCCCTCCAGTTGGCCGTCCTGCATGCCCAGCTCTGTACAATCTTTGCTGAGCTTGACCAGGTATGGCCTGAACCCAGAGCAGGGAGGCAAGAAGGCTTGGCAGACTCTGACCCCAGAGACTTTGCTCAGTCTCTGTCCTGTGTGCCTCACCAGACAACCCGAGACACCCTGGAACCACTGCCCACTATCCTGCAAGCCATCGAGGAGGGCCGGCCTGTGCCCGTGTCAGTGCCAATGCGTCTCCCACCACCCCCAGCCCAGGTCTATTCCAGGTAACCTCAAGTCTGGTCTGGGGTCTAAATGGGTAGGAACAGAAGCAGGGCTGAGACAGGGGTCAGAGGTGAAGATGGATCATTGTGAGCAGAGGTCCACCCCAGGGTCAGACTGGAATCACAGGTTACAGAAAGGGAGGGTCAGGTCAAAAGTCACATGGTGTTTGAGGTCAGGGATGAGGGAAGAGGTTAGGGCCTCAGGGATGAGAAGAGTGGTTAGGGCCCCAAGTGGTCCGGATCCAATTAGATCTGACCAAGTCAAGGGTCATAGAGAAGACAGGATTATAGTCAGAAGTCAAGGACAGGAGCCAGGCTCAGTGGCCCACGCCGGTAATCCCAGCACTTTGGGAGGCTGAGGCAGGAGGATCACTTGAGGCCAGGAACTCAAGACCAGCCTGGGCAACATAGAGAGACCCTATGTCTACCATAAATAAATAAATTAATAAAATTAGCTGGGTGTAGTGGCATGCGCTGGTAGTCCTTTGTATTTGGGAGGCTGAGGCTGGAGAATAGCTTGAGCTCCGGAGTTTGTGACTGCAGTGAGCTATGATCCAGCCACTACACTGTAGCCTGGGGGTGATGGAGTGAGACCTCGTCTCAAAAAAAAAAGAACAATGTCACCTGGGGGTGAGGTCACTTCTGGTCAGGTCGGGATGGGGTCATCTCAGGAGCCAGTAGAGAGTCTGAGATTCTCCATCCCATTCATAGCCTCTCCGCAGGGGAGAAGCCCGGCTTCCTGGCCCCTCGGGACCTCCCCAAGCACACCCCTCTTATCTCCAAGAGTCAGTCTCTGCGCAGCGTTCGCCGCTCACAGAGTTGGGCCCGGCCACAGCCCGACGAAGAGCGGCCCCTGCGGCGGCCCCGGCAGGTGCAGCGCACGCAGAGTGTCCCGGCCGGGCGTCCTGCCCGCCGCCGCCAGTCTGCGGGACCCAGGCCGCGACCCAAAGGCTCCCTGGGCACGGGCCCAGGGCCCCGCGGCCGGCCTTGGACCCGGGCCTCCGCCTCGCTGCCTCGGAAGCCGTCGGTGCCCTGGCAGCGCCAACTGGACCAGCCTCAAGACCGAAACCGGGCACTCAGCACGCACAGACCTGTGAACAAGGTAAGATCAGGCCCAGGTCCGCGCCTGGGGAGTGGGGAGTGGCAAGGGGTAGACAGGGACGCGACTGGGGAAGACTGAAGGGCCAGGCAAGTCTGGATTCAAGTACCCAGCTCGCTGCGCTCTTATCCCCGGCCTAGCCCGACCCTCTCTGAGCTTCAGTTTCCCCAGCTGTACAGCAGGAGGGATGTTCCCCAACTGGGAAGGGCGGTGATGACGCTGAGCACTTGGGCCTAGGAGGTCAGAGTCTCCGGGGAGACGCAGGGGCGGGACGACAGGTCAGATTACAGCTGCTCTCCCACCACAGTTGGCAGAGCTGCAGTGCGAGGTGGCCGCTCTGCGTGAAGAGCAGAAAGCGCTGTCCCGCCTTGTGGAGTCGCTGAGCACCCACATCCGGGCCCTGACGGAGCAGCAGGAGCAGCTGCGGGGCCAGGTTCAGGACCTGGACTCCAGGCTCCGCTCTGGGTGAGCCCAGCCCTCTCCATTAGCCCTGCGCCCAGGTGGGTCTGATCCAATTAGATCTGACCAGGCGCTGCCCAAATCACGCCTGGTACGACCACGCCCCCAATCTGGCCCCTCCCCAATGTCTGTCCAGGCCCCGCCTCTTGACAAGCCCCGCCCCCCGATGGACCCACCCCACGCAGGGCGGCCTGGGACCCTGGCAGATTCTCTCATCCAGGCCCCACCCCTCCAGGAGCCCCACCCAACGTGACTGTGCCGGGCCCTGAGATACCTCAGCCTGGGCACTCCCTCAAGCCCAGTCACGACCCCACCCAGGACTGGACAAGCCCCGCCTCCACTCCAAGCTCCACCCTTTGAATCCCTGGCATTCCAACCAGAAGCTGGAAGGGACTTCCTTAACCTCTGACTTTCGCCCCCATCCTCTGACCCCCACAGGAGCTCAGAGTTTGATTCAGATCACAACCTTCTAAGCAATGAAGGGCACAGTCTGAAAAGCCTGGTGAGACTTCCGTCTGTGCCCTGGGGCAGGTCTGGGCGGTGAAGAAGTAAGGGTTGGTTTCTGAACCCCATCTCCACTGCCTCCCCAGGAGCACCGCCTAACTGAGATGGAGAGAACTCAGGCCCAGCTGAGGGATGCTGTACAGAGCCTGCAGCTTTCTCCAAGGACGTGGGGGTCTCGGAGTCAACCCCAGCACCTCAAAACACCCTGCCTCAATGGAGACACCAGCTGAGCTGTCCATCCCGCCCCACCCCACGTGGTCTGGGAGCAGAGAGACAGCCATCTTAGGGGAGGTGTCTGACCTTGCCTTAGCCCTACTTGGCCTACAGTGGGGAGTGGAACTGCAGGTGCCAGCCACTCTGGCAATACGAAGTTGCCCAGTAAAATCTTGATTTCAGTAACATTGGTGGTTTCTTCGCCCACTAAGAATTGCCAGTTCTTAGACATTTGCCCCCCAATCCCTATTTATCTCTCCCAAATTCTCCCCTAGTTAGAAGTCTCATGGAGAGGGCCATGTACTCCAGTTCTCACCAGCTGTGTGACCTTAGACCTTCATTCTCTAAGAGCCCTTGTTTTCTTATCTGTGAAATGGACATAAAGTTCCCTAAGCAGTGAGAGGACCTATAGTTAAAGGCTTTCAATAAAAGGTATTCACCATTGTTATAGGCAGCTGCTTCTCAATGAAGCAGGGGCTCTACCCCTGGCAAACCCACAGATGAGAGCATCTTCCTAGGCCCTCATGTCAGGGAGGCCATGGGTCTGGGAGGCAGCTAAAGGAGGGGTATCAGGTATGAAGATGGTTGGATTCTGTGTATCAATGATTGGGTAATGAGTCATTCAAATCATGGGTGAATGGATAGGTGAGGGGTGGAGTGGACCGAGCAACAGCAGATGGGTAGGTTAGTGTTTGCTGGATGTTTGACCTAAGTAGGTGAGTCGTTGGGTAGATCAACCTCAGCCCCTCAAAGCACCCTGCCTCAATGGAGACAACACACACTCAATGGGTGGGTATGTCTACCTAGAAAGGGCCTGGTTCATAGCAGGAAAAGTATTTTGAATGTTGTGATCATGCATACGTATGTTGAAGTCTCCTGAGACGCTGAACTGGGCAGTGGAGAAACAATAATGAACAAGACAGTACCCCTGGCCTCATGGAACTTACATTCTAATGGAGAGGCCAAATAAGCAACTGGTGGATGGATATTTGGGTGGCTGAGTGGAAAGATGTGTGTAGGGATGGTTGGGTACTTGCTTGGTTGTATGGATAACTGAATATTTGCTTGGGTGCTGGATAAATGGGCGGGTAGATGGGAAGTGAATGGGTGGGTTGAGTGGGTGTTGGGGTGGATGAATAGGTGGTTGGAGGGGTGGGTGGATAGGTGATTAGTTGATTGGATATGTAGATGAGTGATTGATAGATTGAACAAGTGGATGAGATGGCTGGGTGGTTGGATATCTGGATACATGGTGGATAAGAGAAGACCACAGGCCACTGATGGGGTAGTCCTGGAAACTGTGATCCTGGGGACTGGGTGGAGAAGGTGGCTTAGTACTGAAGACCTAGGGCAACTCCAGGGCAAGGAGGTGCTGAAGTCCGGTGTGGATGATGGGGAAGGAGGGAGTGAGCTTGTGGTTGGAAGGTAGCTGATGGAGGGCAGGGAACAAAAGGCTAAAAATTGACTGGGTGGAGTCCTCAATGACCTATCAGTGATCCATGGGGGAACTTTTCTGCCCCCTCCCCACTCTTTTAGTGCTTTTAGCGAGCCTACCACTAGAAGTACCAGTGGGGTGATGAGGAGCCATTGGGGGGGTGGGGCGACAAGGGTGTTGTCATGGTAACGGGGCCTCTCCCTGGACTCAGGCCGTGCGGGCCCTTTAAGGGTGACCCACTTGGCCACTCCCAACATGGCGGCGCGCCCGCTGGTCGCCCCCCCTGGGGCGGCGCGGGGGGGCGCCCCGGACCTCCCCATCATGGCGGCGCGGCGGGGCTGTCGCGCTGAGGTCACGGCGGCGCGCCGGGGGGGCGGGGCAGCGGGGGGAGCGATTTAAAGGGACAATGTCCCCCGAGCGGTGGAGGCGGCGGCGGCTGCGGAGGCCGCGGCACCGGCACCGGGAGCGGCAGCAGTGGTAACGGCAGCGACGGCCACACCAAGGACGGGAGCTCCGAGCCCCGGCACCTGGCCGGCGGCGCCGCCTCCCCGGTGAGGCCCGGCCCGGCCTGGGGAGCCCGCGGGTGGGGCGGAGCCGTAACGGGGCGGGGGAGGCCCGGGCCGGGCCGGGCCAGGCGGGACCCCCCAGGGCGGGGGCGGGGGCGGGGCCTTCAGGGGCGGGGCCTGGGCGGGGGCGGGGCCGTGCAGGTGGGGGGAGGGGCGGGGGTCTTGGGGCAGGTGCCCCCCCTACCTCGGTGCGTCCCGCGGGGTCTCCCACCCCGGGGTGCACGGGCGGAGGGCGCATCCCCCAGACCCTGGGGCCCCCAGGAGTGGACCCGCGAGGCGCAGCCCCCACCTCTGCGACCCCGGGGGGGCGACCGGGTGGGAGCCCCCTCCCCACGCTGCCAAAGTGCTCCGAAGTTGCGGTCCCGCCCGTTCCCTGCGGGCAGTGCCCACCGGTGGACAACCGCAGGTGCTTCCTCCGGGCCTGGGTAGGGACCCCCACCAAGACTGCCAGCCCACGGAGAAGCCCCCTGGGAATCCCCAGGCCCCCGAGGGCAGCGCCTGCAACCAGGCCTGGCGCCCCGGCCCCGCCCCGGTTGCCTGGGCCCGGCCTCCCCACCATCTCCCTGGGGAGGGCGCCTCATTCCTGCCCTTCACTTTCTGCCGTTACCTTGAAGGTATTTATAGGTGGAGTGGACAACCCCCCCGTCCCCAGGGTCCCCATTTCTAGACCAGGAGCCCCATCGTTTTCTTTCGCCTGAGGACTAGAGCAATCTTGGTTGGGGGCTGGGGGGAATGGAGGAGCCCAGGCTGGGTCTGCAAGAGGGATAATGTTGGGGAGAAGCGAAAGGGTTAATGCTGGGGTCACTGGAGGCTGTGGTTATGGAGGGGGGTGAAGGGGTTAATGCTGGAGAACCCTAAGGTCCTGTGTTGGGGGAAGGGTTGAAGTGTGGGAAAAGTGCAGGGATCGTTGGTGTGGGACGATGGAGAAAAGTAAAGGGATAATGAAGGGAGACTCCTCACAGTGTATAGGATCGAAGTGTACAAGTGGCTGGGATTCTTGCCGAGGAAACGGCATGGCAGTAGGATGTGCATGTGCATGGGTGTGAGGGCCGGACTGGGGAAAGTGCAGCTGTGTGTGAATGGAGGCGTCTGGAGAAGTGGTAAGATTAATGATAGAAGAAAACCAGGTGGCTGAGTAGGCTTGTGTCAACATGGGTAAACTGAGGCAGTGCAGGATCTATATAAAGGGGAGGAGTTATTGATGGAGAGATGGAGGCATGCTGAGGGTAGGGGCCATTGGGATAGAAGGTGTGTGGATAAGGTCTCAACACCATCAGCTCACCTGGGCTGGGAGGTAAACTGAGGCAGTGAGCTGCAAAGGTGAGGACCAAGGTTTGAAGGAGGGGAAACTGAGGCGGATTCCCTTTCCTCCATCCCCTAAGCACTTCCCTCTCTCTGCTGCCAGGCCCACAATGCCCCGCTGAGCCAGCCCAGCTGCTGAGTGGAACCAAGCAGAGAGAATCCAATGGAGGGGTCTCTGGCGGGCAGCTTGGCTACACCGGATCGTCCCCGAGGCCCAGAGAGACTGCCTGGCCCGGCGCCAAGGGATAACATCGAGGGTGGGGCCGAGGCTGCTGAGGGGGAAGGTGGCATCTTCCGGTCTGCCTGTTACCTGCCTATCACCAAGGAGGGCCCCCGAGACATTCTGGATGGCAGAGGTGGCATCTCTGGTAAGAGGATGGGCCCTGTGGCCCCCAGGGAGCATCCAGCTTATTCCCCAAGGCTCAGAGAGAACCATGTCACCTGGCGCAGCAGTGGCTGAGCTGGGATGCTGATTCTGCCTGTGTTCAGAGCCTTTTCTTTGCACTCTGTTTAGTTTCTCATTTGATGATTGTGAAAACAGGTGCCCTGGGAGCCAGTGACAAGACCAAGGCTCCCTGCTGGGTGGTGTGAAGCTGGGATTTGAACTCAGGTCAGCCTGTCTCCCTCCTTTGAGGATACTGTTTGGGGACAGAGGACCATCTCAGCACCCCAAGCTCCCTGCCCCCAGCCCACTTGTTCCACAGGTATTCCCTACTTCCATCAGTCTATCCCAGCTCCCTCTGGTTGTCTGGGTGTATCCTGCTCCTGAGCCATGGGCCAAAACAGTTTGGACCCTGTAGTGGCTAGGGAAAAGCTGGGTAGTCAGGGATGCTGGCCACCCCTTAGTGTCTCAGTTTACCCAGCTAAAAGGTATCTCACACTCTCCCCACCTCCAGATGTGTTATCCATTCTTTAAATACTGAGCACCTTCAGTGTGCCAGACTATGCACCAGGTTCTGGGAAGACAGCTGTAAACCAAAGAGGCAAGAATTCCTGCCCTCAGGGGGCTGACACTCTAGTAGGGGAAATGGACAACAAGCAACTAAACAAATGTCAGAAGGACAGGTAGTGACAGATGCTATGAAGGCATTAAACAGAGTGCTGGGATCATGCCTGAGAGACCCGGAGAGCCTCCCTGAGAGAGTGGCATTTGAATGGAGCATGGAGTGAATGGTGGGAAGGGCATTCTGGGTGGAGGGAACAGCAAGTGCAAAGGCCCTGTGGTGGGGAGGAGCCTGATGTGTCCAGGGACCTGGTAGGAGGCTGGTGTGGCTGGAGAATAGCGGGCTGATGCGTCAGACCCTGCCCCCATCTCCAAATGCCTCAAGGGCTTCCTACATGCCAAGGTTTTTGCATGATCACCTTCTATCATTCTCCAAAGAACCCCGTGGAGGAGCCTTCGTTATTATTATCCTATGTCAGAGATAGGGAAACTAAGACCCTGGGTTGCGACATAAGTTGCCCAAGGTCACCTAGCCAGGGAGTAACATGGCTTGACAGCCCTCACTCTTAACCAGCCCCCAGATCCTTAACCTACTCCAGCCACCTTCACACACTCATGATGCTAGGATTTTTTTTTTTTTTTTTTGAGACGGAGTTTCGCCCTTGTTGTCCGGGCTGGAGTGCAATGGTGCAATCTCAGCTCAGTGCAACCTCCACTTCCTGGGTTCAAGTGAATCTCCTGCCTCAGCCTCCCGAGTAGCTGGGATTACAGGCACGCACCACCACTTCCGGCTAATTTTTTGTACTTTTAGTTAAGACAGGGTTTCTCCATGTTGGTCGGGCTGGTCTGGAACTCCTGACCTCAGGTGATCTGCCGCCTCAGCCTCCCAAAGTGCTGGGATTACAGGCGTAAGCCACTGTACCTGGCGAATGCTTGGATATTTATAAATGTACAGCACCTTCTAGGGGCTGGGCACTGGGGCACAGAGGTGACGGAGCATGCACCATCCCCGCTCTCACGGACCCCACCATCTAAGGCTGAAAAGACAGACGTTATGACACCGTGTTATGACCCGGTGTTATGTCACCAGGTGTTATGACACAGCAGCTAGGGCTGTGCTGAAGAAAGGACCCAGCAGATTGGGGGAAAGGGTGTTCCTGCAGGAAGTGAGAAGAAGGATGAGGGACAATGAGCCAGACCAAGGGGGCAGCAAGTGTCTAGGCATTGGGCTGTGTACATGCAGAGGCTTGGAGGTAGCTGGTGGCATCTGCAGGTGTCAGGCAGTGGGGTGGCAAGGCAAGACCCCAGAGGGCAGAGGGCACACCCAACTCCAGAGTATCAGTGCTCAGGGAAACTTAGTAATCCCCTCCTCTAAGTCATGAATAACTGAGTTAGTAACAGGCTCAGAGACAGGCAGGATCTTGTGCCAGGTTGCACAGTCGGCCAGGGCAGGGTGGGGCCTTTGATTTTGTGGGAGCCTGAGAGTACAGGCTCTGGGAGGTCCCAGGGTCCTCTCTGGGTCTGGTTCCGAGGGATTGGACATCTCTTCTCTACCTGGCAGACTCCCCAGGTCTGGAGAGAGGGGAAAAGCAGGCAGGTAGGTGCATTCTCACTCCCCTGGAGAATCACCCAGGGTCTCATGCATACATCTGTCTTATAGCTTGGGGAGGAGGGAAATGTGGCTGCCGACAGGGGCCAGGCCCTCTCTTGAAGGTCCCCCTGAGCAACTGGGGTCAGGGGTGGGAATGGCTTGACTCGGAGTGAGGTCACGGCCTGGACGTTGGAGGAATGCCTGGGTTTGGGACACTGCATCTCTCTCACTGCCCTCTTGGCCCACTTGACCCCCCCTTCCGAGACACAGGCACCTGCCCTACTAATCTTGTGATGCCTATAAATAGGAACAGGCTCTGGGGCTGCTATTCTACCCCGAAGCCTGGGCCTTCCTCTATCCCCACTCTTCCCTCTGAGCCCCCTGGAGTGGTCACTTCCAGACTTCTCTGCCTGGACAGGACGGTGTGCCCGCTGCCTCCTCTGTCCTCTGTTACGGCTGTTTACCTGGCGCCCCCACACTCCCTCTGCAGCGCCTACTTCTCTAGTTGGACCTTGCAGGTTCAGAAAGGACTCGGGGCTGAGATGGTCTGTATGGATTGATGAAGAGTCTGGTACACGCCTGGAATTGTGTTGGGGACAGGGCACCCAGGGACAAATAACACATCATTTCTGCCCTCTTGGGGCCCCAGCCTGGGGGGAAAATCAGAGCATGGAGTGACCAGGCCTGAGGCTCTGGGTCTAGCCACCAGCTTCCACCCTGAGACATCGCTGAGCCAGCCCTGACCCCGCCCCCAAGGCCTCCCACCAGCCTTCTTCCCCTCTACTGCACTTCTCTGGATGGAGCATTTACTGTGATCTTGCTGGCACCCATCGCTGGCCCTGCAAGACTGGGTCAGTGGCTATTCCCATTGAAGAGGAAGAAACCGAGTGGGAAAGGCACGGCCTTCAGGGCATCCCTGGGGCCTTGAACTCAGATCTGCCTGGCTCCAGAATCTAGATTCTTGGCCACTCTAATCAAGTTGGATCCCAGGCCTGGAGTTCAGGCTGCACACAAACACCCTTTGCCGTCAGCATTTGCAAACTCTCTCGGGGACCCCAGATGGCAGGAGCCAGCGAGGGCCCCTTGGCATGGCCACTGCCTGAGGGCTGCAACCCAGGCACCTCATCTGACCTCTAGGGACTCCTGGATCCCCATCAGCTATGGAGTCCTCTGGGTGAAGCCCCCACCCCCAAGGTGTCTCGGACACAGGGCCCTGCTTGGCCTGCTTCCTCCAAAGTCACTGCCACTAAAAATAGGAGCCTCGCTGGAATTGCTCAGACAAAGAGGCCACACAGTCCCCTGGCTCTTGGAATTCTTAGACAACGGCAATCGCAGAATCATCAAATCTGGGACGCCCGGAATCTTGGGAGCTTGGGGTCCCAGAACCTCAGAAGCAGGATGCCCGGGACCCTCAGACCCACACCTCTAGGTCACACTAGGGCTGGTTATATGTGAACCAGTTGCCCTCCCCTGAAAATAGTTAAGTCTATGACTCACATGTTCTCTAGAGACCCTGTTTCTTGAGGATCCTCACTCCCTTGGCTGGGCCACGCCTTTCTTTCCCAACTCTGAACACCCTCTCCAACACCCCCATCACAAAACCAGCCCTTGCACCCAAGCACAGTTCTGCTGCCTGTCAGTCTACCCCGGTGGTTCTCAAATGGGGGTGACGCGCCTCCCCCATCTAGGGCACACTTTGGTAACGTTTCGTGGCACTTTTGGTTGTCATAACCGAAGGGGGGAGGTGCTGGCATCTGGAGGGTGGAGGCCAGGGATGCCGCTCACCATCCTGCAATGCACAGGACAGACATCACCCCAGAAAATGACCTGGCCCCCAACGCCAACAGTGCTGATGTTGAGAACTTTGCTGTGGATTATGCAGATTTCCATTACCCGCTCCCCACCTCACCTTCCAGAGGTCACATAGCAGTCACAGCCCTTCGCTTGAGTTCAGAAGAAAGACCCTCAGCCAGTGAGCACACCTTTCTGACTGACACTCCCTCCCCGCTCTATCTGCATTTCTATCCCTTGACTCCCAACAGTCAGCTCTCAATTTCTTGGGCCAATTGGATGATGAGGGATTGGATAAAGAATTCGCCCCAGCCCTATCCCTTTTTCTGGACCATCCTCAAATTGAGGCTAATCCAACAATTGCATCTGTTGGGCCCTGGACGGGGCACAAGTTCCCCCAGTGTGTTAACCTTGGCCCGGGCAATTGGCCTGCTCCCCGATTGGCAAGCTCGCCCTCGTCAGGCAATCGTGGCAGGCAGAGGATACACAGGCCAGGATTCCTGTGGTTGCTCCAGGCATTGGCTCCACAGGCAGATAATAGAGAGTTGGCTCCATCTGTGTTGGTGGGTATGGGGTCCCGGGAGGGGGTTGGATTTTAGGACATAGGCCTGGGAGAGGGTGCAGAAGGCAGGGACGGGCTCTCCGCAACTCAGGTTAGAACAGGCGCCTCGTTCATCATCTGGCAAGGATTTGCGGAGCGCTTGCTTCATGCCAAGTGCTGGGATGCTACAGTGAACAAGGCGGACAGAGTCCCTGCTCTGGTGAGACTGCATGTTAGTGGGGGACACAGCAAGCAGTTATCCTGAGAAAGAACCAGGTGATTTCAGAAAATGCTAAGAAAGAAATGAAACAGGTGCTGAAAGAGAAAATCACAGGGACTCATTTGAGTTAGGTGGTCAGGGATGAGTGCCCCAGGCAGAGGGCATAGCAAGTGCAAAGGCCCTGAGGCCAGAAAGAATTAGGTGGGCTTGGGGCTTCCCTAGGAGGCCCATGCAGTTAGAGCGGAGGCACTGAGGGGCCAGGAGAGAGACATGAGGTTGGAGAGACCAGCAGAGGTCTGACCTCATAGGGCCTTGCAGGTGGCGGTTAAGAGTCTGGTTTTCAAGCCTGGCTCGGTGGCTCATACCTGTAATCTTAGCACTTTGGGAGGCCAAAGCTGGTGGATCACTTGAGGTCAGGAGTTTGAGACCAGCCTGGCCAACATAGCGAAAACCCATCTCTACTAAAAATAGAAAAATTACCCAGGCATTGTGGCACATGCCTGTAATTCCAGCTACTCAGGGGGCTGAGGCAGGAGAATCATTTGAACCCAGGAGGCAGAGGTTGCAGTGAGCTGAGATTGCGCCACTGCACTCCAGCCTGGGCAACAGAGTGAGACTCCATCTCAAACAAACAAAAAGTCTTGTTTTTATTATAGGTATAATGAGAAGCCAGGTGAGTTTTTACCAGGGTGAGGCTTGTAAAAAACCACCCTGGCTGCTGGGTGGGGGGAAAGAGAGGACGGTTGGAAAGCAGCAGGCCCCGGGAGTCCCCCAGGAGAACCAAGGGGACTCCTCCAAAGAAACCCCTTTCAGGGCTCAGGATGGCAGAGGCCACGGGCCTCTCGGGGAGAGGGATTGGGAGCCAGCAGGGCCCTTCCGAGGCACCTGCCAGGGCTCCTGGAGCTGGGGTGTGGAGGGCCCCGGCCAGGGGGACCCCAGCCCCTCAGGGTCTCCCCTCTCTGTTGCAGACGGGCAGCCCCATCCCGACCTCAGCGAAGCCCTCCCCCGTGCCACCTCCACCACCCATCGGATCAGCAGCTGGTGAGTGCCATGCTGGCCCTGACCTCAGGGAGGGCAGGGGGGCAAGCAGGACATGCCCAGGCCCAAGAGAAGCCCCTGGGGAATGAGAAGGGGACAGGAGGGAATCAGGAAGTCAGGCAGGAGGAGGAGGCAGCTCCCGGCAGGCAAGCCCCTGGGCGTGTGCTAGGGGTTGGGGGAGGTCTGGGATGAACACAGAGGGTCAACTCTCATTATCCCTGCCAGGAGTAGGCCCAGAGGGGCAGGAGCCTGGAGGTTGGACCCTTGGAGTCCTCTCTCTGCCAGGTGACCCTTAGAATGATACTAGGCCTCTCTGGGCCTCAGTTTTCTCATCTGCATAATGGAGTCCATAAGATGCATCTCATGAATTCGCCTTGAGGGTCCAAGGGGCATTGGGTGAGAGCAGCAATCTGCTGATGGTTCCTACCCTTTATTAAATGGCTTGGCAGGTACTAATAGGTCATAGTAATTTTTTTTTTTGAAACGGAGTCTCACTTTATCACCCAGGCTAGAGTGCAGTGGCGTGATCTCGGCTCACTACAACCTCCACCTCCTGGGTTTAAGCGATTCTCCTGCCTTGGCCTCCCCAGTAGCTGGGATTATAGGAACCTGCCACCACGCCCGGATAATTTTTGTATTTTCAGTAGAGACAGGGTTTCACCACGTTTGCCAGGCTGGTCCTGAACTCCTGACCTCGTGATCCGCCCACCTCAGCCTCCCAAAGTGCTAGGATTACAGGCGTGAGCCACTGCAGCTGGCCAATAGTATTATTAATTAATTAATAATAGCTGCTATGAGCTAAGCTCTGAACATGTGTTTATCCCCACTGGATCCTCGCCACAGCCCTAGGAGGATGGGCCTGTTAGTATCACATGTCACCAATGGAGCTTAGAAATGTGACCTTATGGTTTCCGCTCAACATCTGGATGGAACGTTTCCACATCTGTTCCATGAGCATGATTGGAATCTCCCAATAGAGGCAGGATCTTGCAAAGGAAGGGGGACCCGATCATGAACGGTCATAAAAAGAACCCACACTGGGCCAGGCATGAGGTGAAACAAAGCACTTCCCAAGCACGGTGTTGTGTCATCTTCACCCTACACCCTGTGGGGTCACTGAAAGGTTGTGGTTGTGAGCCTTTAAATAAGCACCTGCCTTGTGTGAAGTTTTTGTTGATGATGGCTATGAGAAAGCTCCACAGATGTTGCATAAGGACAAAGGGGTTCCCAGTTCTTGGGAATGATGCCCATTTTTAGGATTGGAAAACTGAGGCCCAGAGAGGTTATCCTGCCTCCCCCAACCCCACTCCCAACCCCCCACCCTTGAAGGTCTGGATCACTGGGGCCAAAGGCTGAGCAGGGATCTTTAGCCTATCCTGACTCTGGCCTTCCAAGGAGGGGGAGATGCAGGGGAAAAAGGAACGTTCCTTTGAACTGTTCTGCCACAAACAACTTTCACCAGATCTGGGGCAGAGGTGAAGCTAAATTAGCAAAATCACTCCAGTTTGGGGAGGACCAAGACAAAAGCAGCCTGGAGCACAGATGAGAGCTTTGGGTCCTCCCTGGGGAGATATGAGAATTGACTGTTGCCACCAGACTTCTTAGAGGGTGCCACATCCCCGTGTGGCCCAGGTGTGGTCTCCGCACATTCCCCCATGATGCAGCAGGGCTAGGCTCTGTGGACAGGTGCCTCCTAGGAGTTGAACCTGGTGTTTGACCCGATAGGTCTGGAAGGGTCCACATGGACTCTCCCTACCTCCCACCCTCACCCCCACACCCCTGTCACTCTCGGGCTGGATCTCTGGGGCCTGCTTCAAACTGCGTGGGAGCACCCCCATCACCACCATAGGAAGGAAACTGCGGCCCCTGGCTAACCTGTCCCCATTGGCACTTCCTTGCAGCTGCTGGGATGGAGGCAGCCTGGACTTCCGGCCGGGCTCCCCACCACCCCATCTCTTGGGCCATTTCCCAGGCACCCCTGATGTCCGGGGGCCCTGGGAGCACCCCCTTGTCCAGGAGGCTGGGGAGGGCATCCTTTCTGAGCAGAGATTCGAGGACTCAGTCATTGTGAGAACCATGAAACCACACGCTGAGCTAGAGAGCTCTAGAAGGTTCTTGCACCACCGGGGGGATCCAAGGATCTTGGAGAAGCGCCCGCGGGGCGGCCCCAGGTTTGACTGGCTCCAAGATGAGGATGAGCCAGGGTCCCCCCAGGATGCAGGGCTGCCCTTGGACCTGCCTGCCCAGCCACCACCCCTTGCCCCCTTCAGAAGGGTGTTCGTGCCAGTGGAAGACACCCCGAAGACGCTGGACATGGCAGTGGTGGGTGGCAGAGAAGACCTGGAGGACCTCGAGGGGCTGGCCCAGCCTTCCCAGTGGGGCCTACCCACGTCAGCTTCAGAGGTGGCCACGCAGACCTGGACGGTGAACTCGGAGGCATCTGTAGAGCGGCTACAGCCGCTACTGCCTCCCATCCGGACTGGGGCCTACCTGTGTGAGCTGCTGGAGGAGGTGGCGGAAGGGGTGGCCAGCCTGGATGAGGACGAGGACGAGGAGCCGGCTGTGTTCCCGTGCATCGAATGCAGCATCTACTTCAAGCAGAAGGAGCACCTCCTGGAGCACATGAGCCAGCACCGCCGAGCCCCAGGCCAGGAGCCTCCTGCGGACCTGGCCCCGCTGGCCTGTGGGGAGTGCGGCTGGGCCTTTGCCGACCCCGCCGCCCTGGAGAGGCACCGGCAGCTGCACCAGGCCTCCCGGGAGAAGATCATCGAGGAGATCCAAAAGCTGAAGCAAGTGCCAGGGGACGAGGGCCGGGAGGCGCGGCTACAGTGCCCCAAGTGCGTCTTTGGCACCAATTCCTCCAGGGCCTACGTGCAGCATGCCAAGCTGCACGTGCGTGAGCGCCCAGGCCAGACGGCCAAGGAGCCTTTTGGAGGCAGCAGCGGGGCTGGCAGCCCCAGCCCTGAGACCGGCACCCTCCTCTATCAGCCCTACAGTGCTGCTGCTGCGGGCCTCAGTGCCTGCATCTTCTGTGGTTTCCCAGCGCCCAGCGAGAGCCTGCTCAGGGAGCACGTGAGGCTGGTGCACGCCCGTCCCCACTGGGAGGAGGACAGCGAGGCTTATGAGGAGGACCCTGCCAGCCAGCCAGGCACTAGCCAGGATGCTCACGCCTGCTTCCCTGACACTGCCGTGGACTACTTTGGCAAAGCTGAGCCGCCCTTGGCCCCCATGTGGCGGGAGAACACTACTGGATATGACCCCAGCCTGGCCTTTGGTCCAGGATGCCAGCAGCTGGGCATGAGAGATTTCCCGCTGTCAAAGCCACTCCCGCATGGCATGGGCCAGAGGCCTCTTGGAAGGCTGGCCTTTCCCTCGGCGCTAGCATCCACCCCCTACGCCTTACAGCTTGGGAGAAACAAAAGCACCGTCCACCCACAAGGGCTGGGGGAACGGAGGCGCCCTTGGAGCGAAGAGGAGGAGGAGGAGGAGGAGGAGGAGGAGGAAGAGGAAGAAGAAGAGGATGTAATGCTGACCTCCGAGATGGACTTCTCCCCACTAGCCACCCCCAGCCTCATCCCGCAGCCGGCCCTGGAGCTGAAGAGGACCTTCCAAGAAGCCCTGCAGGCAGCAGAGGCCACGCAGGAGCAGCAGCAGCAGCTCCGAGGGATGGTGCCCATTGTGCTGGTGGCTAAGCTGGGGCCACAGGTCATGGCAGCGGCCCGGGTTTCCCCAAGGCTGCAGCCCGAGGAGCTGGGGCTGGCGGGTGCCCACCCCCTGGACCTCCTGCTCCTGGATGCGCCGCTGGGCAGCCCCCTGGGGCTGGACACACTCCTGGATGGCGACCCAGCCATGGCACTGAAGCACGAGGAGCGGAAATGCCCCTACTGCCCCGATCGCTTCCACAACGGCATCGGCTTGGCCAACCACGTCCGGGGCCACCTGAACCGCGTGGGCGTCAGCTACAATGTGCGGCATTTCATCTCGGCCGAGGAAGTGAAGGCCATTGAACGCAGGTTCTCCTTCCAGAAGAAGAAGAAAAAAGGTAGGGCAGCTTCACTTTAAAAGGCCCAGGAGACACAGGGCTGGGCAACCCACCCTCGATCTAAATTCTCTCTCCCTTAGCGCCAAGCAGGGGGACATTGGGGCCTCTGCTCCTGAGAGACTTGGGAGCTGCTGTAAAGGCCAGCCCATTGGTGCATGTGTGGGAATACCCCAGTGCCCTGGCCATTCCAGCTGCTGGAGGAAAGAGTGTGGGTAGAGGCGTCAGCCTCGGGCAGAGAATTTCATTCACTCCTCCATTCAACAAATATTTACTGAGCAAGGTTCTCCTCTGTCCTGGGGACTTGGGGACACAGCAGTGGAGAGAATAGCAGTTCTTGGATTCTTGGAGTTCGTGGCCCAGTCCAGGAGTGGTGGGATCGCCTCCACCCCACCCCAGCCAGCTTCAGAACCCCCTGGGGCTGCCCATAAGGTTTACCAGTTCCCAGGGGACAAGGCTGTGATTCCAGAAGTCTGTCTCCAACAGGAGCACACTGGGTGGCTCTGACATTGGCAGACACAAAGCCCACTTGGGGAGGTGCCAGTATGGTATTTGAGTGTGTGTGTGTGTGTGTGTGTGTGTGTGTGTATGCACGTGCACGTGTGTGTGTGTGTCTTTACCCTAGGGGTGGAGGGAAAGGGGTGGACAGCCAGGAAAGCAGGCAGTGAGACACTGAGTGATCAGGGCTGAGATGTGGGGAAAGCTGGTAGAACCAGGAGGCTGGGGAAGCTGAGAGAAGGTCCCTAACTTCAGTTGCAGGGCTCAGAGAAGGCTCCCAGTGGAGGGCATTACATCTATTTGTCCATTTCTTCATCCAACAAATATTTAATTTACAGCACTTGGGTGATCATGAGTAAAAATAGGCACAAGAGGCTATTAATCAAATACTCTCACAGAGGATGGCAGGTCCACAACTGGAGAAGCGTTTCTCTCTCTTTTCTTCCTTTCCTTTCTTTTCCTTCCTTCTTTCTTCTTTTTTTCTTTGAGGTGACGTTTTGCTCTTGTTGCTCAGGCTGGAGTGCAATGGCACGATCTCAGCTCACCGCAACATCTGCCTCCCGGGTTCAAGCGATTCACCTGCCTCAGCCTCCCAAGTAGCTGGGATTACAGGCACGCAACATCATACCTGGCTAATTTTTGTATTTTTAGTAGAGACAGGGTTTCTCCATGTTGGTCGGGCTGGTCTCAAACTCCCAACCTCAGGTGATCTGCACACCTCAGCCTCCCAAAGTGCTGGGATTATAGGCATGAGCCACCATGCCTGGCCTCTTTTCCTTCTTTCTTAGACAGGGTCTTTCTCTGTTGCCCAGGCTGGAGTGCCATGAGGTAATTATAGCTCACTGCAGCCTTGAGCTCCTGAGCTCAAGCAATCCTCCCACCTTAGCCTCCTGAGTAGCTGGGACTACAGGCATGCACCACTATACCCAGCTAATTTTTAAATTTTTTATAGAGATGGGATCTCACTATGTTTCCCAGGCTGCTGTCAAACTCCTGGGCTCAAGAGATCTTCCTGCCTCGGCCTCCCAAAGAGCTGGGATTACAGGCGTAAGACACTACACCTGACCCTGGAGAAGGGTTTTTGCAGGAGAGGTCCCTCCTTGATGATCCTAGATGTGGGAAGGGGGAATCTGGGAGGGCTGGGCTTCCTGGAATGGGGTGGGAGGATGCATGAGCTGAGCTGAGGGGACGGCAGGAGCAAAAGGGACAGCCATGGGAAAGAAAGGCAGTCCAGGGTGAAGCCCTGAGTGCGGGGAGGGATTGGGGTTAGGGAGTAGCCCCCTCCCCACCTCAGGCAGTCCTGTCCTCTCTCCACAGTGGCCAACTTTGACCCAGGAACCTTCAGCCTGATGCGTTGTGACTTTTGCGGGGCTGGCTTTGACACACGGGCCGGCCTCTCCAGCCATGCCCGTGCCCACCTGCGTGACTTTGGTATCACCAACTGGGAGCTCACCGTCTCACCCATCAACATCCTGCAGGAGCTGCTGGCCACCTCTGCCACTGAGCAGCCCCCCAGTCCCCTGGGCCGAGAGCCTGGGGGTATGCCTGGCAGCTTCTTGACCTCCCGTCGGCCCCGCTTACCTCTCACCGTGCCCTTTCCACCCACCTGGGCTGAGGACCCTGGGCCAGCCTATGGAGATGGTAAGGGGAGGGGGCGGGCTATGCTGGAGCCCCATCCTTCCCAGGGGCCCAGAGCATTGGAGGGGCGAGGCTGGAGGGGCAGCCACTTGGCTTCTTGGAAGCATTTTGAGTCACTTTACAAAGTATGTTGACAACTCTCCTTACAACGATCCTGCTATGTAGGTGTCCTTTCTCTTTCACTCAGGATCTGGGCCAGGTCTCTTTTTGGATCCAGTTTTTCCCTATCATTCCTGCCAGTGACTTTGACAAATGATTACTGAGCTTTTACTGGGAGCCAGACAGCGTTCTAAGCACTTTACAAACATGAACTCATTTACATCCTCACAACAATTCTATAAGGCAGGTGTTATTATTTCTTCTCCTTTACAGATGAGGAAACTGAGGCACAGAGAGTTTAATTAACTTGCCTGAGGTCACACAGCTGGAAAGGGGAAAACAGGGATCTGAAACCCAGGCAGTCGGGCTCCAGATTCTTTGCTGTTAATGACTTCATCTCTCTTGAGAAGCATTGTTGCATAGAACTTTCAAGATGATGGCTGGAAATGGTCTCTAGATATCTGCACGGTCCTGCAGGGACAACCACTGGTTATGTCTGGCTGTTAAAAAGTCGAAATGAGTTGGGTTCATTTGAGTCTAAGTCTCACACTGCCACCCAGGCTGGAGTGCAGTAGCTCGATGCCAGTCACAGCAACCTCCACCTCCCAGGTTCTAGCAATTCTCCTGCTGAGTAGCTGGGAATATAGGCGTGTGCCACCATGCCTGGCTAATTTTTAGTAGAGATGGGATTTCACCATGTTGGCCAGGCTGGTCTCAAACTCCTGACCTCAAGTGATCCACCTGCCTCAGCCTCCCAAAGTGCTGGGATTCAGGCGTGAGCCACAGCACCCCGCCTAGAGTCTAGATTTTTCAACCAATGTTTGCTTTGTCTGGTAGATCTGATATGCTCCTCCATTTTCAAATGCTGGCTATATACTAATGTCTTTTGATTTTAGTTTTTTTTGAGATGGGATCTCACTATGTTGCCCAGGCTGGTCTCGAGCTCCTGGGCTCAAGCAATCCTCTTGCCTCAGCCTCCCAAAGTGCAGGGATTTAGAGGCCTCAGCTACCATGCCTGGCCCCTGTACTAAGGTTTTAACCTGTATTATCTCATTTATGCCTCAGTGTAAGTCTGTGGGACTAAGATTATTGTGTCCCTGTTTTGTTTGTTTGTTTGAGGTGGAGTCTCGCTCTGTCCCCCAGGCTAGAGTGCAGTGGTGCGATCTCTGCTCACTGTAATCTCCGCCTCCCGGGTTCAAATGATTCTCCTGCCTCAGTCTCCTGAGCATCTGAAACTACAGGCGCACGTCACTAAACTCGGTTAATTTTTTTTTTTTTAATTTTTAGTAGAGACGGGGTTCCACCATGTTGGCCAGGCTGGTCTCGAACTCCTGACCTCAGGTGATCTGCACACCTCACCCTTTCAAAGTGCTGGGATTACAGGCGTGAGCCACCACACCCAGCCGAGTCCCGGTTTTAAGGATAAGGAAACCACGGGTAATCTTCTTTGCCACAGCCACACAGCCGTAGAGCTGGATTTCTCAGCAGCTTGTTTGGTGGTGTCTTTAGTGCAGGATGGCTTGGAAATCCATAAGTCCTATTTAGTGAAGGAGCCCAGGACTGGGCACCACAGAGGGAGTGGACAAGTGAAGGGCCTAGTCTTGCACAGCCTGACTTTGCAGGAGCCTTTACAACGCAGAGAACTTGGCTGCGAAGAGTAGTTGGGCTCTGAGGAATGGAGAGTTTCTGAACAGGGGGAATCATCCTGGGATTGCTGGAGGCTAGGGCTTCATTTGGTACTATTCCTGTTTTGTGTTTTGTTTTATTTTGTTTGCTTGTTTGTTTTAAAGATGGAGTCTTGCTCTGTTGCCCAGGTTGGAGTGCAGTGGCACCATCTTGGCTCACTGCAACCTCCACCTCCTGGGTTCAAACAATTCTCCTGCCTCAGCCTCCCAAGTAGCTGGGATTACAGGCACCCATCACCACACTTGGCTAAGAAAATTCCGTATTTTTAGTAGAGAGGGGGTTTCACCATGTTGGTCAGGCTGGTCTCCAACTCCTAACCTCAGGTGATCTGCCTGCCTCAGCCTCCCAAAGTGCTGGGATTATAGACCAAAGGCACTGTGCACAGCCTTGTTTTTTTTGTTTTTTTTTGTTTTTTTTTTTTTTTTTTGAGGTGGAATCTTTCTCTTGTAACTCAGGGACTGGAGTGCTGTGGCACAATCTCCACTCACTGCAACTTCTGCCTTCTGGATTCAAGTGTTCAGTTCTCCTGCCTCAGCCTCCCAAGTAGCTGGGATTACAGGTGTCTGCCACCACTCTCTGCTCATTTTTTTTGTATTTTTAGTAGAGACAGGATTTCATCATTTTGGCCAGACTGGGCTCGAACTCCTGACCTCAAGTGATCCACCCATCTCGGCCTCTCAAAGTGCTGGGATTACAGGCATGAGCCACCGCATCCAGCCGCTTCTGTACTACTCCTCCTTACAGCTGCTGGGGTCCTACCTAACCCTGTACTCTGGACTCATTCACAAGCCCATTTGAAGGGCACTATTGAGGCTGCAAAGGGGAGGGTGAGGCTATCAAAGCCCCCTCTCCTTGGGGGTGCAGAGAGGACAGAGGTTGGTTGAGGTGACACCTCAGGGAGAGGCAGAGTGGGAACTTGACCTCAGGCTTCTTGCTTCTTCTAAAGGCTGCCCCCTGGGCATTTAGCTCACCCACATCTGGCTTGGTTTGTAGTGTCTCAGGGATGGCTGCTAGACAGAGCTGGCTCTGAGGATGGCTATGGGTAAGGGAGGCACTGGGGTGTAAGGAGTCAGCCTACGATGAGAGAGGAGGCAGGTTTGGCACTGCCCTGGCCGTGTCCTTGGGAGGGCGAGCTATGACCAGTCTTTCAGTGAATAACTGGGAGGCAGAGGGTTCGCGGTTAAGGAGTGATAGGAAAGATCCTGGAAGCCTTGCCTTAAGTGAGGATGTGCAATATTAGGGCTAGGTCTGGGCACTGGCCCTGTCGTTAGAAGCCTGCCCCGTCTCCCTAAGTGGGCAGGAGAGGGCGGGTGCCAGGATGGGGGCGGGGCAACGGTCAGATTCTGGCCCCACCCAACTGTCAAGGAACAGCTGGGGACAATCAGAGAGAGAAGCAGGCAGTGATTGAAATGTGGTGCTGGCCGTGTGGGATTCCCTAGGTCCGCGGAACAGCACCGTCGGGGGACGGTTGGATACCAGGATGATACTGAAGGGATTCTCGTGGTTGGAGATCAGGTGTTTTCTAGGATCCCCGACTCGGAGGTGGAGACTTCCCTGAAAGGGAATGAGGTAGGGTCCTGGGGCAGGTCCTAGCTCCGCCCGTCGGGGCCCTTAAGAGTTTGGACGTTGTTTAACGGGGTTTGAGTGAGGCCGTAAGATTCCCATCCTAGGGGTGGAAATGTCCGGGGATTGGGCTGGGACGGCGGTTGGAGGCCGCTGGGCACCCAGTGTGCGTGCATCCGCGAGCCGGAGTGCGCGGGCAGCTTCCAGCAGCTGCAGCTCTCCTCCCGCAGGGCCCAGACGAACGGTTTCGCTCGTGGCGCTCGGCGCTCGGCACTCGGCCGGCCACCCTGGGCGCGCCCTGAGGGGCGGGGCGGAGCGGGTTCGGCGGCGGTGGCGGCGGCACTCGGCACTCGGCGCTCGGCTGCTCCCGCCTGGGGCAGCTGCCCCGCGTGCGCCGGAGCCAAGATGGCCGCCTCCACCGCCCAGTGCCGAGTGACAAAAGCGGAGAGCAAGGCGGCGGCGGGGCCGCGCGCGGGGGGCGCCAGGGAGCGCGCGCCCGCGGGGGCGCCTCCGCCCAGCCCCCCGAGCCCGGGCCCCGCGGCACCCCCCCGCGCCGCCGCCGCCGCCCCCACCCCCACCGCCGCCGCCGCCGCCGCCGCCACTACCGCCGCCGCCGCCGCGGGACGGGCCCAAGGCCGAGTCGGAGCCGGGGCCGGGGCCCGGGCCCGTGTCCGCGCCGGGTAAGAGTCCGCTCTTGGGAGGGTGCGGGGAGGGGAAGGTCGGAATCCCGCCTGCCGGTGCCGCCGCCTCCGACGCCTTCCGTCCAGTCTCCGGGTTGCCCCCCCCCCACTCAGGCCCTTTAGTCGCGTGGGCCCAGGGCCTTCTGTCGCCGTTCGCAGGGTCCCAGGCCTCAGAAACACTTCACCGCCGCTCCTCGAGACCTTTGCCCCGTCTGACAGATGTCCCTTGCCCTCTTTGGAGCCCCGGGAGTGTCCCTTGCCACGGTTCCGGTCCGTCCGGCAAGGAAACTCACTTCGGCCCTGCCCCATCTGACAGACGCGCCCACCCCACGCGGAGACTTTAACAAAGTCCTCGGTGTCCCAGTCCTCAGCGCCTACTCTTTGCCTTTGCGAGACAAACTGAGCATAGAATCTACCTGGTTCTCTGCCCCGTTACATTCCTATATTGAGCATCTCCAAGACCCCGTTGGCACACACTTTCCTCATCTTCTGAGCCTTTGCCATACTCTGAACTCTAAACTTGGAGTTCAACGGGCCTTCCAGGCCCCTTCCTCTGAAAAACTAGACCAGAAAATTCGCCCTTGGTTCCATCTGCCACACACTCCTCACCCAGGGAAGCTTCCGCCTGATAGATGTCTCAGAAACTTAACACAAAGTTATGTGATTCCAACCCTTTCTGTCTGCAGTTAGGTCGCTGTAGGCGCAGAGACCAGGTTCTCACCTTACCCCACTTAGGGCTCAGTTTGTGATGAGTAGGCCACCTTGTCCCCCATTGTCTCTGCAGCCCCCAGCTGTCTTGTCTGATGGAGATTCCTCACAAGTGCTCCCTGTCCCTAGCTCCCTGGCTCCCTGCCTCTGTGTTGCCTCTCCAGCCTCCTGACCCTAGTGTTTTGTTGAATTCTCCTTCTGACTGCCTCCCACCCTCACTCTCAAGCCAGGCAGATGTTCCCCCTCACAAGTTCTGCCCAGAGAGGTCTTTTCTTTGAGATCCCCCAGGATGGGAGTTTGGGCTCAGATTTGCATTACACCAGGGACCTGTCCATGCCCTGGTGTGTGGAAGCAGCTGCTGGTGTCTGCTGTCAGTGGCAGCCTCAGCATACCTGCATTGAACTGGTGCTGGGGGTTGTGGGTAGAACCTCAGCTTTCCTAGGTGGGCTGCCTTGCAGAGTGGGAACAGACAGCAAGGATAAGAAGGCCATCTTCTTAGTTCTGGGGATAGACAGCCCGAAACTTGCCTGGCCTGAGCCTGTCTCCCCAACCCCACAGGCCTGGGTTCTGAGGAAAACGCAATGGTGGCCATGGACTTGGGCTCTCCCTCGCTCCCTAAGAAGAGCCTGCCTGTCCCTGGGGCCCTGGAGCAGGTGGCCAGTCGGCTGAGCAGCAAAGTGGCTGCAGAGGTTCCTCATGGCAGCAAACAGGAGCTGCAGGACCTCAAGGGTGAGTGGCCCAGGTGGTATGGCAGGGGATGCTGGCCAGGCTGGTGACACTCACAGGGGCACTCTCATGCCTTGGGGTTAACGTGGAACCCCAGGTTGCCCGCAGTTTTCCCTCTGGCACCTTGAGGCGCCATAGTTGGCACTAAGCTGCCTTCTTTCTTGAACTTCTACTGTCCTGGGCATTCATGGCCCTGAGCTGCACCCTCATGGGGGAGGGAATGGCATCCAGAGAAGCAGCGGGCACAGTGGTCCAGAACTCATGCTCAGACCTAGCTCATTTGCTGAATCTGGCCTTTGCTAGCTGTGTGATCTCTCCCATGACACCATTTTTTCTGTCTGCTTGATACTAAGGTTCCTATTGACTAGTGACGGGCGCTAGGGTGGATTCCAGGGAGGTGAAAGGAGCAAAATGAATTTGGCTCTTGCTCTTGAGGGTCATTCAAGTTGGGGGATTGGGACAGAGAAGCAGATAGGCAAGGATAAAGGCTCTGTGGAAGAGGGTACAGGAGACTGCAAGGACCAGTGTTTTGGGTAGGAGTTGAGCCGCATAGGGTGGCTAGAACTTAGTTCAGTGAAGCATGTGGCTGGCAGGGCAGCATTTGTGTGAACCTGTTGCCAGGGCTCCCAATAGGTCAGAGTTCTGAAAGATGTCCCACTGGCTGGATGATAGAAGGACTCTGCATCCTGTGGTGTGCCCTTGGGCACAACTTGTCCCTCTCTGAGCCTCAGTTTCTAACCCTTATCAGCAAAGCAGACAAGCTGATCTCCGCCTTGTTAGGGTGATTGTGAGGTTCGGGGGGCCTGACGGAGGCAAAACACTTCCATGGAGCCTGGGTGAGTGGGACTCTCGGGGGAGGAGAAGCGGGAGAGCTGGACCTCGGGCCTCACAGCCTGCTCCCCCGGCCTCTGTGTTGCCCTTCAGCCCAGAGCCTGACCACCTGCGAGGTCTGCGGCGCCTGCTTTGAGACCCGAAAGGGCCTGTCCAGCCACGCACGCTCCCACCTGCGGCAGCTGGGAGTGGCAGAGTCGGAGAGCAGCGGCGCACCCATCGACCTCCTCTACGAGCTTGTGAAGCAGAAGGGCCTGCCCGATGCCCACCTTGGGCTGCCCCCGGGCCTGGCTAAGAAGTCCAGCTCGCTGAAGGAGGTGGTTGCCGGGGCCCCGCGGCCCGGCTTGCTCACCCTGGCCAAGCCCTTGGATGCCCCTGCTGTCAACAAAGCCATCAAGTCGCCTCCAGGCTTCTCGGCCAAGGGCCTGGGCCACCCGCCCAGCTCTCCGCTCCTCAAAAAGACACCACTGGCCCTGGCGGGCTCCCCTACCCCTAAGAATCCTGAGGACAAGACCCCCCAGCTGTCCCTGAGCCCCCGGCCGGCCTCCCCAAAGGCACAGTGGCCTCAGTCTGAGGATGAGGGGCCCTTGAACCTCAGTGAGTGTGGGTCCCAAGAGCCGAGGGAGGTTCCGGCACTGGGAGGGACAGGGGCCTCAGGTTGGGCAGCAGGGCCCAGGGTGGGTGGGGACAGTGGGGACTACAGCTCCCATGTCCTGGGTTGGCCAGGCCAGAGTATCGGTTGAGCCTCTGCATCTCCTTTTGGGCCGCCATGGATGTGGACTGTGTCTCCCACTTCACTTTGTGGATCTTCCCTGAAGGCCTCACTGCGGTGGCTGAGCCTGCCAGGGTCATGTCGCCACTGAGGGGCAGCTCTTGGCTTTCTCTGGGCCTGAGGGTGGGGGCAGTGAAGGTAATCACATTTCCTGTGGCCTAGCTTTCTCAGTGGGGGTTGGAAGCATCTTGGATAGACAGGGGATCACCTGATGGGAAGTGCCCACAGTTGGTCCTGTTGTCAAGTCTTCCTTGCTGTCCATGCAGAGGCAGCTCTCTGTGCCTGCAGGTGAAGCCCTACCTCCTGGGCTGCCTGTGGGCATGGCAGGTAGCATTTGGGAAGAAACCCTCTAGGTGCAGTGAGCAGGCTTAACAAGGGCTTTCCCATATCTTTGGGGACATTAGAGTCTGGGGGTGACCCCAGAGTCTGGTCCCCTGCCCAGCGGACCCCCATTTGGCACCTCATGTTCCCTTGAAGTTGTTTTCCACTGAGTCTTCCATGCTTCCAGGGGCGGGGCCCTGAGCAGGTGTGCCCTTGGCTGCATGAGCCCAGCAGCCACCATCACTCCCACAGCTCCCATAGCAGGGATCCTAGGGGAGAGGATCTGGGAGTATCCGATTATCTAGAATTTGGTCACTGCCTGTCCACCCCACGTCCTTAAGCTCTCTACACTCCCCTTGATGCCAAAGGCTAGGCAGGAAACAGGATATCCTGCGCCCAAACCTCAAAAGAAAGCTGCGGCTTGAGTCTTGGACCCCCAAACTGCCTGAGCAGCCAAAAATCACACCAGACCCTCCTGCCTCAGGCCCCCAAGGCCGGCCAAGGTGGCGGCCGTGAACTCCCCCTGTGTTTTGTCTCCGCAGCTTTAGATAGTGACGGGGGCAGAGAGCTGGACTGCCAGCTGTGCGGTGCCTGGTTTGAGACCCGAAAGGGCCTGTCCAGCCACGCCCGTGCCCACCTGCGCCACCTGGGCGTCAGCGATCCGGACGCCAAGGGATCCCCCATAGACGTGCTCCACGGGCTCATCAGGAGGGACGGCGTCCAGATCCGCCTCCCACCCAGGCGCGGCGCCCTGGCCCACCTGGGGCGGCCGCCTCCCACCTCCGCGGCCCTCTCCTTGCTCCCCCCCCCACCGCCGGCCAAGAAGGCCAAGCTGAAGGCCGCGGGTATGGCCAGCCCCTGGGGGAAGCAGGACCTCTCGGCCGCCGCAGCCGCCGGCATTTTCTGGGCCTCTGATGTGGAGCCGTCTCCTCTCAACCTCTGTAGGTTCTCGCTTCAGCTGCCCCCTCCTCCCTGCGGGCCCTGGAGCCCCTCCCGGGGGGGTCACAGCCCCTTCCCTGCTGGGGCAGGGAGTAGACAGGGCCCTTGGCAGTGGGCCGGTTCTGCCCAGAGATCTTGGCAGTGGGCTGCTAGGCCCTCTCTCTTGGCCTTTGACCTCCGTGACCCTTCCTGAGAATCAAGGCCAAGGCGGAGAAATCCTGCCTTCTGGTGTGCAAGGCACCCACATCTGCCCCTGTCTAGATGGCACATTAGCACCTAGGCTGCCCTCCCCACCTCACCCTGTCCTTGTTGGGACCCACAGAGCAGTGGAATCTTGGTTCCATTCTCCTCCGCCAGGACCGAGAGCCCATGTGCTCTCTGGAGCCTCCCCTCACTCCTGCCGGGTATCTGGCCCCCAGCCCCGCTCCTCCACTCCCTTATCTGCACCTGCCCTCACCACCCTAACCTGTGGGCACGCTGCTGCCACCCATGCCCAGCTGACCAGGACACTCCCGCAGGTGACCGTGCTGGGAGTTCCACGATGATAACTGCCCCTTTCTCCTCCTGCTGCAGCCTCAGGCCCAGAGCCAGCGCGAGATATCCGTTGCGAGTTCTGTGGTGAGTTCTTCGAGAACCGCAAGGGCCTCTCGAGCCACGCACGCTCCCACCTGCGGCAAATGGGTGTGACCGAGTGGTACGTCAATGGCTCGCCCATCGACACGCTGCGGGAGATCCTGAAGAGACGGACCCAGTCTCGGCCTGGCGGACCTCCCAACCCACCAGGGCCAAGCCCAAAAGCCCTGGCCAAGATGATGGGTGGCGCAGGTCCTGGCAGCTCACTGGAAGCCCGCAGCCCCTCGGACCTTCACATCTCACCCTTGGCCAAGAAGTTGCCACCGCCACCAGGCAGCCCCCTGGGCCACTCACCAACTGCCTCTCCTCCTCCCACGGCCCGGAAGATGTTCCCAGGCCTGGCTGCACCCTCGCTGCCCAAGAAGCTGAAGCCTGAACAAATTCGGGTGGAAATCAAGCGGGAGATGCTACCAGGGGCCCTTCATGGGGAGCTGCACCCATCTGAGGGTCCCTGGGGGGCGCCACGGGAAGACATGACACCCCTGAACCTGTGTAAGTGTGACCCTGCAGTAGAGCAGGGAGAACAGTTGGAGGGGTCTCCTCCCTGCCTCCCCTTGGGGGTATCCAGACTGCCTAGGGTTGAACTGGAAGGGAGGATGTGCAGGTAGAAAGGACGCAGGGTCAGCTGTGTATTCCTGCTGTGCAGACCCCGGCAACTGATAATGCTTGCTGCTCAATTGTCCTTCATTCATTTGAGAAGCAGGATTGTGTCATTCAGTGATGGCAGTAAGGTTCCATTTCTTGTGCCATTTCAATCAATTGGTAGTGTCTGTCAGCCAGAGTCCTAGGGAGAAAGACTGCAGGGATTAATTAGTGATGTCTACCATGGCAGGAGTGTAGGGACTGGCAGTGAATGTCTGATCTGTGTCTTTCTGACATTCCTGGTAATTAAGTGCTTAACATTTGGAGTCAAGTGTGAGTTAAGATCACTGTTTCTCCACAGTCTAGCTCTATGTGACCTTGGGCAAGTTTCCTCATTTGGAAGATGGAGATCAGCATAGTCCCAACTCTGGTTTTCTTGAGGATTAAGTGGGATAAAGCACTTAGCACAGCACCTGGTTACAGAAAACTCTGTGTGCTGTCATCGTAATGTCACTTGCTTGCCTATTGCACCAGCACTATGTTCATTCTGCTCTGATTGGATGCCCGCTGTGTGCTGAGTAGGTGAGGACAGCCTAGGCTGTTCCTTAGCACTCATGTGCCTTGTGTACCAATTCTGTACCCTATGCTCAGAACTGTTCCCATTTTAGACCCTCCCATAGTAACACTGGGAGGGAGGGGTTTTCATCTCCATTTTGCAGAGGAGGAAACCGAGGCTTAGAGAGGGAAAGTGGCTTGCCCAGGATCACACAGGGAGATTTTTTGAAGCTAGCTAGAATTTGAGGTGACAGAAAAAGCAGAAAAGCTAGAGGTACACAAGGGCCTTTGGAGGCCCAGAGGAGGGAGCAGGTCATTGCGATCTGGTGGGTGGTGTGGACAGGGGTAGCTAGGCAGCTGGCAGTGAATACGGGGGCTTTGAGCTTAGAGACTTCCTGCCCGCAGCTGCCACCTCCTTCTCCTCCTCCTCCCCCCACCCTGGATCCCCTGCAGCGTCCCGGGCAGAGCCGGTGCGCGACATACGCTGTGAGTTCTGCGGTGAGTTCTTCGAGAACCGCAAGGGCCTGTCGAGTCACGCGCGCTCCCACCTGCGGCAAATGGGTGTGACCGAGTGGTCCGTCAATGGTTCACCCATCGACACGCTGCGAGAAATCCTCAAGAAGAAATCCAAGCCGTGCCTCATCAAGAAGGAGCCACCGGCTGGAGACCTGGCCCCTGCCTTGGCTGAGGACGGGCCTCCCACTGTGGCCCCTGGGCCCGTGCAGTCCCCACTGCCGCTGTCGCCCCTGGCTGGCCGGCCAGGCAAATCAGGCGCAGGGCCAGCCCAGGTTCCTCGAGAGCTCAGCCTGACGCCCATCACTGGGGCCAAGCCCTCAGCCACTGGCTACTTGGGCTCAGTGGCAGCCAAGCGGCCCCTGCAGGAGGACCGCCTCCTCCCAGCAGAGGTCAAGGCCAAGACCTACATCCAGACTGAACTGCCCTTCAAGGCAAAGACCCTTCATGAGAAGACCTCCCACTCCTGTAAGCAGCGGGTGGCAGGGTCCCGGGAGGGCGACTGCCAGGGCCTGCCAGGCCAGGCAATGCCACAAGAGTGCACACTGACCCCAAGTGGGGCCCCCATGGCTGGGTCTCTGTGGGAGGCGGGATTGGCATCTGGCCTCGGCAGTGCCGTCTGGGTGCACCTGCCCACTTCGGGCTGTGGCTCAGCAGCACCCCCTCCGCCCTGCAGCCACCGAGGCCTGCTGCGAGCTGTGTGGTCTTTACTTTGAAAACCGCAAGGCCCTGGCCAGCCACGCACGGGCACACCTGCGGCAGTTCGGCGTGACCGAGTGGTGCGTCAATGGCTCGCCCATCGAGACACTGAGCGAGTGGATCAAGCACCGGCCCCAGAAGGTGGGCGCCTACCGCAGCTATATCCAGGGCGGCCGCCCCTTCACCAAGAAGTTCCGCAGTGCTGGCCATGGCCGTGACAGTGACAAGCGGCCGTCCCTGGGGCTGGCACCTGGGGGCCTGGCTGTGGTCGGCCGCAGTGCTGGGGGGGAGCCAGGGCCTGAGGCTGGCCGGGCAGCTGACAGTGGTGAGCGGCCTCTGGCAGCCAGCCCACCAGGCACTGTGAAGGCCGAGGAGCACCAGCGGCAGAACATCAACAGTGAGTGCTGGTGGAGGAGGGTGGGAGGGCAGCAGGCACCTGCCAGGCCTACCCAGCCATGCCCCAGGCGCTCTGCTGTGGCCCTTTAGTCGTTTCTCCAGTTGCTTACCAATTCCCCTGTTTGTCCCCAACCCCACCCATCCATCCCCCATCCCACCCATCCAGGCAGCATCCATCCTCAGCTCTTGTGTATTTCAAGTCTCTGCAGCGTCCACCCCTCCTGCTCATCTCCGGTCCCTCTCCCCACCTTAGAATTCGAACGCCGACAAGCCCGCCCTCCAGATGCCTCTGCAGCCCGGGGAGGCGAAGAGACCAATGACCTACAGCAGAAGCTGGAGGAGGTGCGGCAACCCCCACCCCGAGTCCGGCCGGTTCCCTCCCTGGTGCCCCGGCCCCCACAGACATCACTTGTCAAGTTTGTGGGCAACATCTACACCCTCAAATGCAGGTAGGCTGCCCCTGAGGGAGGGAGGGAGACCACTAGAGTGGGCCTTGGTCACCCAGAGCCTTGGAACAGGACAGGGTCTGGTGGGAGCTGGGAGGTGTCGCCTCAGTGGCTGCCCTTGGGTGTGGTAGGGCCCAGGCTAACGGCTGACATCCTGAGCTTGGTAGCCCGGGAGACCTGGGTTCAAATCCCAACTCTGCCACTTACTAGCTTAGTGACCTCAGAGAAGGACTTACCTGCTCTTTACCTCAATTTCCCCACTCATAAAAGCAGGTGATAACAAACCTACCTTACAGATTTGTTACGAGGACTAAGTGAATTTAATATTTATAAAGCACTCAGAACTGCCTGGCACGTGGTAAGTAAGCACTTAACTAGTGTCTGGCTCAAGAAAAAAGTAGATCTTAGTTAATTCTTACCAGAGTCCACAAGTACAGTGGAGAGGAGGGAACTGGGACCCTGAGACTTGAGGTGACTTGCCTGAGGCCACACAGGCCAAGTCAGAAGTCAGAGTCAAACCCAAGTAGAGCCATGGAGCCTGGGCTCCAGGCGTCTGTGCTGTGAGGCCTCTTTAGGTGCCAGGAAGACAGGAGGAGGAGGGGGGCCTGGCTCGTTGGGTAAGACTTGCTTCTCTGTGCCCTCTACTGTCTCAGATTCTATGTATCTGTCAGATGGCAGGAGGACCTGGAAGCCGGGTAGCCCTTACCTGGCACCAGTGACTTCCTGAGCATAGAGGCAGGGGTCTCTATGAGACCCTGCCTGACCCTGTGGTGGTGAGTGGAGGTGGCTGTCCATGGGAAACACCTGATCTCTGGGTCCCTCTTCCCCCACCTCCTGGGCTTGCTCTGTCCACACCGAGTAGCAGCAGGTGTGCCAGGGACATGGGCAAGGCTATGCTTCCACCTCTCGTCACAGCACTGGCCACTCCCTCTCTCCTCCCTCACGCAGGTTCTGTGAAGTGGAATTCCAGGGGCCCCTCTCCATCCAGGAAGAGTGGGTGCGGCACTTACAGCGGCACATCCTGGAGATGAACTTCTCCAAAGCGGACCCCCCACCTGAGGAGTCCCAGGCCCCGCAGGCACAGACAGCGGCGGGAGAGGCTCCCTAACACAAAAGCATTCCAGATCCCCTCTTGTGCCACCTCTGTCTCCTCTTCTCTGTGCCCTCATCCCTCTTCCTCTTTCTTTCTGTTTCCAAAGGAGCAAGCCAAAACCTCAAAACGGCGCCCCTTGGGGGCCGGGCACACTACAGCCAGGGCGCCGGGAGCCAGCTAGCCGCCCTTCCCCCAGCCCAAGGACTCTGGGGCCACAGGGTGTCTTCCTTCAGCCCATGCCCACCTGGTCCAGCAGGGGCAGCAACCAGGTCTCTGGTGGCAGCCGATTTGGTCACAGGGGAAGACAGCACTCCTCCGTCTAGCAGCCAGGCAGGGCGATGTCTGCCATCCGTGGCCATTTGCAAAGACCCCAAAGACCCCTGTTCTGGGTCACTCTCGCCCCCATGAATATCCTCTCACACGCATGTACATGCGAACACACACATGCACCTCGTGAGACCTGGGATCTGCTCCGGACCCCCAGTTCCCGGGTCAAACGACCACATCATGCCACGGTGCTTGCTCAGGGGAAGCCATGCTCCCTCTGTGGGGCCTGCTGGGGCCTGGGAGCCCCTCACTGAGCCCACAATGCCACGGAAATCCTTGTGGGCTGCCCCCCAGAGGGGCCTTCCCAGCTGGGAAGAGCTCAGAGCTGACAGCTGCCTCCTGCCATGTCAAGGCCCCCCAAAGAGCCTCAGGGGCTCTGGGGCCCTGGAGGGTGGGGTGGGGGGGTGGGACTTTCCTCCCCCACTCCTGCCTCCTCCCCCTTTTCACTGTTGCTTTCTATGTATAGCTCCCTAGACCTTTCACTTTTTTAAAAACGCGTTTTGTGTAGAGAATAAGGAACGTGGATCTTTTTATTTTGCAATCCTGGGCCAGCTAGAAGCCGGGAGCTGATTGACCTTTTAACTTTTTTCAGTGGCCACATTTTGGTTATTGATGTACCTAGAAGTATGTAAATTAGATTAAATTTCTCTTCTGGAAACGCCCCGGGGCAGGCGGCCAGCGTGTGTTTTTCTGTCGAGTGGACAGGCTGGCATTGGCTGGCAGCCGGGACTGGGATCGGGGCCTCCTCTGTGCAGAGCCATGGAGGCCCTGGGTTTTCCCGTTGGCTGCCAAGCCGACCAGATGCAGCAGGGGATGAGCCCAAGTTCCTTTAATGCCATGGCTGGTGTGGGGGCTCTGGCTGGCTGGTCAAGTGGCTACAGTGAGCAGACAAACCAGGGTTCTGGGTAGCCCGTCTGGGAAGGGAGCCAGGATCAAGAAGCAGTTGAGGCTGAAGGAGCTTATCAAGGGCAGCAGCTACCAGTGAGGGTGTCAGGGACCCGCTGGGAGCATTTGGGGGGGCCAGCAGGGGTGTAGAGAGCTGGAACTCTCCTGCTTTCAAGATGTGACTTCTAGTTAAGACACGTGCACCCGACTCGAGAAATGCGGGGAAAGGAGGAGCTGCTGGCTCTTTGCGATGTTATTTATTTTCTCACTCTGCAAATGTTTATTGAACATTTCTGAGATTTTAAGAGATTTCGTTGGCTGCTCCTTCTTGTTTATTGCATGTGGTTTTTCAGCTCATCGTTTTCACTAAATGGCCAAGTGCAGGAAAGTAGGAATGACTTCATGGCATGTGAATAGCAGGGGCCACCTCTACCCCCAGCCCTGCTTTCCGGGCCCTCCCACCATACCCCTGCCTGGGAAGGAGGGTTAACAGGCTGCAATGACAAGCCCACAAAGGTGGTCTTAGTCTACACATATGCTCCTGTGGGGTCAGGATGCACATCTTACCTGGTGGCAGAAGGCCGCAACCACTTCTGTCCATTCTGTGCTGTGGGTGGGTGGGTGTATGCAAGACTTAGGGAGCAGGGAGAGCATCTTGTGAGCTGACTCAAAGGTGTGTCTTCCTCTTACAACTTTTCATTAGTTTTTATTTTTTGAGATAGGGTCTCATTCTGTTGCCCAAGCTGGAGTGCAGTGGTGGGACCTTGGCTCACTGCAGCCTCCGCCTCCTGGGTTCAAGGGATTCTCCTGCCTCAGCCATCCAGGTAGCTGGGATCACAGGCGTGCACCATCACGCCTGGCTGAGTTCTATAATTTTTGTAGAGATGCAGGTTTCGCCATATTTCCCAGGTTGGTCTTAAAACTCATGAGCCTTAAGCTTTCCACCACCTCAGCCCCCTAAAGTGCTTGGATTGACGTGTGAGCCACTATGCCTGGCCCATAAGTCAGTTTTTAAAATATAAAAGTGGTATAGGCTAGATGTAACAAAAAAACATTCAAATGATTCGAGAGCTTATAAAGTCACATGGCAAGTTCCTCTCCACCCATCATGCTGTGAAGTGAGGGTTGTGTGTCCTTGAAAGAGGCACCTCCAGCTCTTAGCACAGGGGGATGTTTTCCTAAAACTTTCTGAGCATTACTCTTCTCTGCTCAAGCCATTTTAATGCACCTCAGGCAGCAAAGTTTGAACCTTTTGAGCCGTGCTCTGTGAGGTTGTTTGATGTTAACGAAATCAAATCAGGGTGCAATGATGGCTGTGGCAAGTGCCATGAAGGAACGAACCTGTAGGACGCAGAAGTCATGTCCTGGGGCCCTGCCTTAGTTTGGAAGACAGGCAGGTATCCCTGAGGCTGACGGAGATGAACCCCAAAGTCAGAGTGCTTACCCATCAGAGCTCTGCTTCACGTGTGGAGTTGCTCAGAACACGTAAGTAGCTTTGTTCCACATAGCAGCAAGCTCTGCGTAAGCCTCATTTGGGTGGGGGGAGTTTTATTAAACCATTTTATCATGGAGAACTCCAGCTATACAAAAGTAGCACCAATAGTAAAATGAACCCTTAATCAATTACCAATCCATGACCAGTGTCTTAAGCTGTGAGAGATTAATCTCACAGCTCCATGCTTTCCCCTTTTCTCTCTGAATTGTGTGAAGCACATCCTGGCCATAAGATCGGTTAACTTCTTAGTATTTCAGTATGTTTCTCTGAACTTTTTAAGTGCCACCATTACACCTAAAGAAATCGACAATATCAAGAAGCAACAGCATACCTTGAAAAAAAAATTTAAAAACGAAGTGTAGAAGTAATTGAGCAACTTGATGAGTTTTCACAAACACACGTTTAGTACTCTCTTCGGTTTACCTCTGTCATCTCTAGAAATTATGAGATGTCCCTGGCAGGGGTTTCCACATGCCCAGGAAACAGGCTGAGAACACGACTGGTGCTCGGCTGCACTGTTGCAGGATCTCGAGTCCAGAGTGTTTTTTTAGAAGCAAAGTTCCCATTTTAACACGTAACTGTCAAGGACCTTGAGCAAATCATGAGTTCCAAGCTTCAGTTTTCTATTAGGTGGGGATTAAAAGCTTTTTGCACAATACAAACAGAATTATTACACATATAAGCGATTAATAACATTCAGTGCAATGGCACCGGAATTACTCCTTCACACACATTTTGTCATGTAACGTTGGAACCTGCGTTCAGCATCTTGTTTGGCGCTGAGTTTTAGGCTTCTCAGTCCAGCATGGCTTTGCTATGCTCGCTTTGGAACTGAAGGCCAGAGAAGTTGAGAGACTTAGCTAGGTTTATCCAGCTCCTCGGTGGTGGAGCTGGATCTCAGCCAAGCCCTGAGCCGTAGACCCGGCTCCCTCTGGCGGGTCTCCAGGGCACGGACGCTCCTCTAGCTCGCCGCGCTTGGGCCTTGGACCTTTCCGTAGCGCACAGTCCCGCCCCCTCGAACTCTACAGGACTCCGCCTCTCTGCCGGCTTGTATAGGCCAATCACTGAGGGCTTAGGATAACAGAAGGAGGGGGAACAAGGCGGGACTCTCATGAGATTGGCAGCAGCTTCCAGCCACTGATGTGAGGAAGCGCTGAGATAGACAGCGGTTTTGTCCAATAGACGTGAAGCCGAGGCCATCATGAGCCAATGCGGTCGGGAGGCGGGGCTTCGGGCGTGTGTGTGTGCGCGCGCGCGCGCGCGTGTGTGTTTGTGTGTGTGGAGGGGACCCTGGGGTTAGCAGCCGCTATCGCAGCGTTGGATGTGCAGAGCACCAGCGGTCGGCGTCCACGGATGTTGTGTTGGCCGCCGCCATGAGCTACACAGGTGAGCCTTGGAGGGTGGGGTCGGGCTCTGCGTGGGGGACGGGACAAGGACAGACGGATGCCACACCAGGCTCGCCCGCACCTACCCTAGGGCCCCGTCACTGCCCTCCCTGCGGTCACAAAATGGCGCCGCTGGCCCGTCGCCTCAGGGTCGCTCCCCTCACGCCTCGTTGCCTCAGCTCTCTGTGCCTGCAGTCGGCGTCCCAGCTCCCGGCCGCCTGAGGTCTTGGCTTCTGTCGCCTTTGTCCGTGGGTCCCGGGCCTCAGCGCACGAGATGTCCGCCTCCACCACCTCCGTCCCTGGCTTGAGCTCCTCGGATCTCGACGCCTTAGGTCTCCCTTTCTCAGGCGTTAGTCCTTGCGAGGAGTCAGTAGGCTCGACTACCGTCGCCATTGTCGCGTCCTCCCCCGCGCAGTTTCTCTGCAAAAACGCCGCAGCTCTGCACCTCCACCCCGATCCCACCCACCACCCCCTTTTGTCTATTTCATAACTGGGAGAGGCGCCAGGTCCTAGGGGGATAATTAAACATTTGAAGGGTTTGGGCTGAGCGGGGATCCTTGAGCCCTTAGGGGCTTAACTGCAAGGAATGACAATTTTCCACGTTAATTCCCTCTACATCTGTCAAATGAACCGTGTCCGGTGCAGACTGGGCACTGGGAATACTGACAAGAATTCCTCTGGCAGCTTAGAGGCAAGGACGGATCTTAATAGGCAAATAAGCAAGTGTTGAAGATACATTTTAGGGTGGTCAGCATCCTGCGGGGGTCGCTCCACTACATGGAGTCGTTGGGGCCCTCGGTAAAGAGGTGACATTTGAGCAGAGACCTAAATGGACTGAGGGAATAAAGACACCTGGCCCAGGGAGCTTTTGCTGTAAAAGCCTTATGGGCAGGAACTGCCTGGCTTGTTAGAAGATCAGCCAGGGAAGCCAGTGGGATTTGAAAGGGAGAGTGGGTGATAAGATCGGAGAGCCCCTCTCCCCGCTCCCGCTGCGATATGCTTGGGCGACTGTAAATCATCACTGGGTGAATTGCCAAGGTCTCCTGGGTTTGCCTTGGCAGTGACTGATAAGGCTTCTCAGCCAGGAGACTTAGACAAGGCCTCCCCATTTGCTGAGGGTATTACAGGCTTGAGCATGTGTGGTTGCCAGGTATCCTGTATTCTACTTGGAATGTTGAGAACTGAGAATGGAATGTGAGTCTCTGGAACTTCTTTGTAGGCGGCTTTATGTTGGCATAGGCAAGAAAGTAGTGCCAGTCCCTTCTACCCTGGCTCCCAGGTCAGAGCTTGCCAAGAACTCCAGTTTTTCTAGCAACCATTCCCCAGCCCATTGGGTTCTCATCCAAGGGTGATTCTGCCCCCAGAGGACATCTAGCAATGTCTGGAGACATTTTTGGTTGTCACATATGGGCATGGGAATGCTGCTGGCATCTTGTGGATAAAGGCCTGGGATGCTGCTATGCCACAGTATACACAGTGACACCCACCGCAAAGAAGTATCTGGCCTCAAACATCAGTAGTGCTCAGGTTGGGCAGCTCTGCCTGAGTCTTTCTGTAGCTTTTCTAGTTCAGGAGGAAAGACTGTAGGGTTGTTACTGACATCTCTGAGATTGGGGTATAATTCTCACCAAATCTTACCAAGAACTGGAAGACAGTTTCATGGTTTTTAAAAACAGGACTGCTGCTGGGCATGGTGGCTCACGCCTGTAATCCCAGCGCTTTGGGAGGCAGAGGCAGGCGGATCACGAGGTCAGGAGTTTGAGACCAGCCGGAACAACATGGTGAAACCCAGTCTCTACTAAAAATAAAAAATTAACCGGACATGGTGGCACATGCCTGTAATCCTAGCTGAGGATTACAGGAGGCAGGAGAATCTCTTGAACCCAGGAGACAGAGGTTGCAGTGAGTCGAGATCACACCAGTGCACTCCAATCTGAGCCACGGAGTGAGATCCATCTCAAAAACAAACAAACAAACAAACAAACAAACAAAACAAAACAGGAACCAGAAGATGAATGAGTAATAGATGAGGAAACTGAGTTAGAGGGGTCACTAATGACCAAACCTGAATTTCAGCTCTAGATCTTGTCTGCCTGTACAGGTAGTTCCGGGTTTGGGTGAGCACTGAGGTAGCCAAGCTAATAAAGTAATTAGTTTTTCCTTGATTTTGATACACTGAAAACCACAGTCATTTATAATGTGAGTCTTTCCCTTTTAAGAAGTAGGGCACTAAAGTCAAAGGCATTTTAAGTCACATTTCAGACAGCTACCGGCTTTAGGGGTAAGTCTTAGAGGCCTTGAAGCAAATGTTACCATTATTAAACATAAAACGTGATTGATAAATCTTTTTATTAACTTACCGTGTTTTTGAACCCAGTTTCTTTATCTATACATGGGAAAGGAAGCTGCATCTCTAGCACTGAGAGGGGAAGAGGAGAGCAGTGGAAAACAGGACAGAAATATCCAGAATCAGGCCCTCAAACAAAGATCTGAAAGGCTACCATACTTGTCATAGAAACATTTGTTATCTCACACTGCTTTTTTTTTTTTTTTCTACTTTACTATCTTAAATTTGGTTGTACACACCGCTTCTTTATGTTTGGAATGGACAGATGATTTTGCTGGGTGGTTCTAGCTTGAAATATCATGAGGTTATATTTAGGATCTCTGCCTGGACTATAGTCATCTGAAAGCTTGACTGAGGCTGGAGGTCTTAAACTCCCATGCCTGGCAGACTGATGCTGGTTGTTAGTTCTTTGCCCCATGGATCTCCCTAGGGCTGGCTGCTGGAGGCTCCTCACAACATGGTGGCTGGTTTTCCCCAGACTGAATGGCCCCAGAAAAAGCAAGGCAGAAATCCCAGAAGTCACACTTAGTCATTTTCATAAACCTTATTGGTTGCACTGGCTACCTCTATCAGTTGGGAAGGGACTACATAAAGTCAACAGACAAGAATTATTGGAGACCATCTTGGAGGATGGTTGTCACCCTACTCTTGGCTCCAACAGTAGAGGTTGGAGGCAACCTAACCTAATTCCAGTTATCCTTTAATTTTTGTCACTCTGTTATTCCTTCAAATAAGACTTTTTTTTTTTTTTTTTTTTTTAAGATCAGGCATGGTGGCTCACACTCACACCTGTAATCTCAACACTTTGGGAGGCCAAGGCAGGAAGATTGCTTGGGGCCAGGAGTTTAAAGATGAGCCTGGGCAACACAGCAAGACCCTTGCTCTATTAAAATTAAAAAATTAGCTATGGAAGTTGGAGGCTGCAGTGAGCCATGATTGTGCTGCTGTGCTCCTGCCTGGATGACAGAGCAAGAGTTGGGGAGGTTTGCTGGAGCCCAGGAGTTCAACGTTGCAGTGAGCTATGATCATGCCACTCCACTTCATGCCCACTTCAGCCTGGGCATCAGAGCAAGATCCTGTCTCAAAAAACTATATACTCTTTATTTATTTTTTTTTATTGAGACAAGTCTTGCTGTGTATCCCAGGCTGGAGCGCAATGGTGCAACCTCTGCCTCCTAGATTCAAGTGATTCTCCTGCCTTAGTCTCTTTAGTAGCTGGGATTACGTGCCTGGCCATTTTTTTTTGTGTTTTTAGTAGAAATGGGGTTTCACCATGTTGGCCAGGCTGATCTCAAACTCCTGACCTCTTGATGAGCCTGCCTCGGCCTCTCAAGGTGCTGGGATTACAGGTCTGAGCCACTGTGCCCGGCCGTATATCCCTATACTTTTTATTTTGTTTGAGACAAAGTCTTGCTCACCAGGCTGAAGTGCAGTGGCATGATCTCAGCTCGCTGCAACCTCTACCTCCTGGGTTAAAGCAATTTCCCTTCCTCAGCCTCCCGAGTAGCCCGGACTACAGGTGCACGCCACCATGCCTGGCTAGTTTTTTTGTGTGTTTTAGTAGAGACAGAGTTTCACCATGTTGGTCAGGATGGTCTCGATCTCCTGACCTTATCATTCACCTGCCCCGACCTCCCAAAGTGCTGGGATTACAGGTGTGAGCCACCACGCCTGGCTTATACTCTTTTTTTAAAAAGGAAAAAGAAGGAAAAGAATAAAACTGATAAGCTTTTTTTGTTTTGTTTTATTAAGACAAGGTCTCACTATGTTGCCCAGGCTGGAGTACAGTGGTGCAGTCATAGCTCACTGCAGCCTCTACCTCCTGTGCTCAAGTGATCCTCCCACCTCATCTCAGCCTCCCAAGTAGCTGTGACTACAGGTGCAGGCCACCATGCCTGTCACAAGAGAGACTGGCTAAAAGCAAGGAGAGCTGCTGCAGAACTAGAAATTTATGGTCTCAAAGTGGGAGGATTGCTTAAGCTCAGGAATTCAAGACCAGCATGGATAACATAGTGAGACCCTGTCTCTCCAAACAAACAAACAAAAAAAAAATTAGCCGGGCCTGGTGGTATGTGGCTATAGTCCCAGCTACTCAGGAGACTGAAGGAGGAGGATCGCTTGAGCCTGGGAGGCTGAGGCCACAGTGAGCAGTGATTGTGCCGCTGACCTGCAGCCTGGGCAAGACCACTCCCCCACCCATCTCCAATAAACATAGAAAGAAAGAAATCCATGATCTGACAGCTTTATAGGGCCATATAGGGCATATTTTATTTTTTCATCCAGACAGAGCTAGTCCGGCTGATAAATTGTACCAAGAGAACACTTTACAAGCCAGATAAGAATTTATTCATAATAGGAGCCACAATTAGCTGAAGAAGAGCCTGCTCTGCCATCTTTGCAGACAGTATTACGGAACAGAATGTTAAGATTGCCATTGATCTCAGAGGGTTTGATGGATCATCTTTCTTTCCTAGGGAAGAACCAGGGCGGCTCTCACCTGATGTTTTGCTCAGCAGCTTGCTGGCTGTATTCATGTGAGGATGCGGTAGGCTGTCTGTCATTTGCAGTTGCAGTACTCATAGACCACATTATCTAAAGTCTGAGGCCATTTTACGGGCCTTTTGAATGGATTCCTACCCTCTTTACTTAGGGAAGGTAGAAGACTCGATCTGTGTACCTTCGGTTTTAGCCTTCCTCAGGGCCCAGTCCCTCCACTGGAAAGTGAAGATGAAGTTGGGTTCACAGCTGGAAACCTTGGAGCTAGATGTATTTTGGAATTTTAGCTTTTTAAGAGAAGTCACGTGGGATCTGGGGAAGTACCTTGTATTTAAATACACTAATTCTGCACTAAGTAGGACAAAGAAAGATTGTAAATGTCCTCACAGGTGAAAACGGCTCCAGCATGAGTTTTGGCACTACATTGGTGGAGAACACTTGGTCTTCAGACCCTTTTGGACCTGGGGGAATTGCAGAGAAAGGGATCTTGCCCACCTGCCCTATTGCCTGTAGTGAGGATGAAATGCGATCATTGCAGATAAAGGTTCTTAGCACCCTGCAGGGAAAGCACTTGTTCAGTGTTAGCTGCTGCTGCTGTGGTCTTAAGACAGAGAATGTCAACAAATAAGAGAATGCCTACAAGCTATTAAAGGCATAGGCTTTAATTTTCAGGTCATGAATTGACTCTGATGGGAAAGGCAAATATTTCCTCTTATGGTATCTGTCATAATTTCAGTGTTGAGAGAAAATTATTCAAAAGTATGTATTTCTAGCTGTTGGGGTTTTTTCTTAATGTAGTTTTAAAGCCAGCTTCAGGATTAGGATTAATCATAGCTGTAGGAGCAGTGGTTTCTGATAAAGTTTCAAGTTTTATTTACTTGGCACTAACTTGTTTTATTTCATTTATTTATTTATTTAGAGATGGAGTCCTTCTCTGTTACCCAGGCTTGAGTGCAGTGGCACGATCTCTGCTCACTACAATCTCTGCCTCCTGGGTTCAAGCAGTTCTTGTGCCTCACCCTCCCAAGAACTTGGCGATTCCCAAGAATTGCCACCATGCCCAGCCAGTTTTTGTATTTTTACTAGAGATGGGGTTTCGCCACGTTGGCCAGGCTGGTCTCGAATTCCTGGCCTCAAGCAATCCACCCCTCTTGGCCTCCCAAAGTACTGTGAGTACAGGCGTGAGGCACCACATCCAGCCCTAATTCATTTTATGTTGAGAAATAGTTTGAGAGTTGAGAAGATAGGAAATTTTATGTATACATAATAATACTTATGCCCATATGAACGTGCCAACCCCAAATAATTACTTTTAAGAAGTAATTGTTTTTTGGTTTTTTTTTTGAGAGAGGGTCTTACTCTGTCACCCAGGCTGGAATGCAGTGGTGCAATCATAGGTCACTGTAGCCTCAACCTTCTGTGCTCAAGTGATACTCCCATCTCAACCTCCCAAGTAGCTACGACTACAGGCGTATGCTGCCACAACTGGCATTTTTTTTTTTTTTTTTTTTGTAGAGACAAGGTTACCCAGGCTGCTCACCTTATCCTCCCAAAGGGCTGGGCTAACAGGCATGAGCCACCGTGCTGGGCCCAGAAATAATTGTTATACACACTTTTTAATGGGAAAACGAAAATATAAAGTAGTCTGTATGTCAGATTTAGGGCAGGGAGAGAGGGTATTATTTGCTTTAACATGGTTTTAAAACTAACTTCCATCCTTGTTTGAATTCCAAGTGGCTCACCTTTCAGGGATTTGAATATTTTCCTCATTTAACAGAATGATAACTTGGGTACTCATTTATCAAAATAGGCTGCTGACTTAAATGTTTAAAAATTTTTATTTGGGGCCAGGCTCTGTGGCTCACGCCTGTAATCCTAGCACTCTGGGAGGCTCAGGAGGGTGGATTGCTTGAGCCTCAGAATTCAAGACCAGTCTCGGCAACATGATGAAACCCCATGTCTACAAACATTAGCTGGGCATGATGGCATGAACCAGTAGTCTCAGGTTGGGAGGCTGAGGCAGGAGGATTGTTTGAGCCTGGAAGGTCAAGGCTGCATTGAGCCACGATTGTGCCATTGCATTTCAGCCCGAGTGACAGAGCAATACCCTGTCTCTGAAAAGTAAAATAATTTTTTATATAGTCCTTCTGGTATAGCAAGTTAAACATAGCCTGCCTTTCCATTGGTTCATCTTTTCTGAAGGTCTAATTAAAGGGTGGAGTCTACAGGTTTTGGTGGCTTCTCATTGAGAGAAGGGCCTACTAGCAAGTCTATACCAAAGGGTATAGGTGGTGTTAGGTCATTTCCTTGTGACTTGCATGGGGAAATTAACCCCACTGTCTTTATACTTAGGCTTTGTCCAGGGATCCGAAACCACTTTGCAGTCCACATACTCGGACACCAGCGCTCAGCCCACCTGTGATTATGGTAAGTGTGTGCTTCTGGTGGGAACTGAAGTTTTCTGCAGAACAGTTCCTTGTCTTCTTAGTTGCCTTTGATGTCACCCTGTCATGCTTTTTTAAACCTAAACTTGTGTGAAATGGTGTGGCCATTTGAATAGCTAGTGCTTCCCTTTGGGGCAATTTTGGGAAACATAGCTGTGTTCCTGAGCAAGTTAGCCCTTTGATAAACGGCCTGGCTTCCAATCCCCATGAGGGAGGGACTGGGAGTCAGAGTGGCCAATTAAAGTCCAAAGGAGGCCAGGCCCATGGCTCACACCTGTAATCCTGGCACTTTGGAAGGCTGAGGTGGGTGGATCACGAGGTCTGGAGATCGAGACTATCCTGGCCAACATGGCAAAAAACCCATCTCTACTAAAATACAAAAAATTTAGCCGGGTGTGGTGGCACATGCCTGTAGTCCCAGCTACTTGGGAGGCTGAGGCAGAAGAATCGCATGAACCCGGGAGGCAGAGGTTGCAGTGAGCCGAGATTGCCCCACTGCATTCCAGCCTGGCAACAGAGCAAGACTCTTGTCTCAAAAAACAAAGTCCAAAGGATTGGTCCAGGAGAAAGTAAGCGATTAACTTAGTCCCAGCTTAGTGTGCGTTTCCTTGTTGTGGGAGAAAGAAGAGTGTGTGAATCTAGCAGCTTTCGGAGGCTTAGCCAGGCCACCTCAAGCCAGCAGGCTTCACATACACACAGTTGAGTGAAGATCTCTGATTGAGTTTTCAAGTGTGGACAGAAATACTTAATTCCCTAATTCAGAAGTAGCCACCAACAGGATTCACAGATGCTGTTTTGTGTGCTGTGGCAGCCTAGAACTGCTGATAAAGCTGGTCTTTGCTTGTCTGTGACTCTAGGGGTATCTGCTGAGAAGGAACTCTCTTTGGAATTAATAGGGATAATGTTCTAGTTACTGAGATGGGTAATTTCATTTACTACCAAGGTCTGGGGAAAGACTGATCCCTGCACAGCTAGCATGCCCTCAGGGGTCACTACACAAAGGGACTTAAGTAAGCTCCCCAAGTATCAGCTGCTAGTCCCAGGAACAGGGAAGACTTAAAATGTTTTGAAATTGGATGAGAAGGTATCAGGTATTTCATAAATGAGGAAAAACTTGGTTTGCTTGGCTTCCCTGCCCTGCCCTCCCTGCCTCTTCATTTTCATCAAATGTAGTCCCTAACTGCACATCTCTTTGAATTCTTTTTTCCCTCTGGGTTACATATTCTGGGTACAGGCCATTTCTCGGATGTGCCATTTGCAAATATTTTCTCCCGGACTATGGCTTGTCTATTTACTTTCTGTCAGTGTCTTTGAAAGAACACAAGTTGTTAATTTTGAAGCCCAATTCAATCTTTTCTTTAATAGATCATGATTTTTGGTTTTATATCTAAGAAATGTATAAGATTTTCTTTTTAATTTTCTTTTAGGTGTTTTCGTTGTGGGTTTTATGTTTAGTCTGTGATCCATATTGAGTTAATTTTTTTAAAAGGTGTGCAGTATAGGTTAAGGTTTCTTCTTCTGTTACATATAGATATGCAATTGTTTCAGCACCATTTGTTGAAAAAAACATTTTTTTCTTCATTGGATTGCCTTCCTACCTTTACTGAAAACCTATTGACCACATATTGTGGGTCTGTTTCCGGACTCTTGGACTCTCATTCTGTTCCATTGGTCTAGACATCTAAACTTTCTTCAGAAACAGTCTTTTTGTATTTTTAGTAGAGACTGGGTTCACCATGTTGGCCAGACTGGTCTCAAAACTCCTGACCTCACGTGATCCGCCTGCCTTGGCCTCCCAAAGTCCTGGGATTACAGGCATGAGCCACCATACCCGGCCCAGAAATACAGTCTTGATTACTGAATAGTAGTAATCTTGAAATGTGAGTCCTCCAGGTTTGTTCTTTTTTCCAATATTGTTAGTTTCTTTGCTTTTACATATAAATTTTAGAATCTGTTTATCAAGTTTTAAAAAAATTTCTCCTGAGATTTTGAGTGAGAGAGCCTTGAGTCTATAGATCTATCAAATCTATAGAATCTATAGAACAGTTTGAGATTAGTTTGAGAAAATTGAATCTTAACAACATCAAGTCTTCTGATTCATGAACACAGTATGCCGCTTCACTGATGTGGGCCTTTGACTTATTAGTGTTTTGTAGTTTTCAACACATATCCTACACATGTTTTGTTAGATTTACACTTAAGTTTTTAATGCTTTTAGTACTATAGTACTTTTAAAAATTTCCAATTCATTGCTGATATTTAGAAATTTGATCACTATTTGATTTGTAGGTTTACCTTGTAATATTTGAAATTTGATATATAGACTGACCTTGTAATAAACCTTGCTAAGCTCACTTATTCTAGTAGCTGTTTTGTAGATTTGTTTTTGATTTTTTTACATACACAATTGTTGTGAAAGAATAGAAATGGATTTATATTTCCTTCTGGCTTGAATTGCCAAAACAATATAACATTTAATAACATTTTGAAAAACAGTCAACCAAGACCCTGCCATGTTAATATTTAATTTTTATCAGCTTACTAATTACATGTAGTTTAATAATTTATAGGTGGATAGAATTGTGAGTCCTGCTTTATTTTGTTGGTTTTTTTTAAACATATGGTCTCACTCAGTTGCCTGCTGGAGCACAGTGGCGCGATTTCAGCTCACTGCAACCTCCACCTCCCAGGCACAGGCGGCCCTCCCACCTCAGCCTCCTGAGTAATTGGGACTATAGGCATGCCCTACCACACCCAGCTAATTTTTGTATTTTTTGTAGAGATAGGGTTTCACAGTGTTCCCCCAGCTGGTCTCAACCTCCTGGGCTCAAGTGATCTGCCTTGCGTGCTCCACCTCCCAAAGTGGTAGCATTATAGATGTGAGCCACTGCACCCAGCTGGTCCTCCTTTACTTTATGTTAGAAGCATTTCCTTGTACTATATAAGGCATAGTAAATTCTTTTTTTATGCTTACCTGATATGTCACTGAGTAGGTAGGCTATAATCTGATCAACTATTACCTTAAAGTTGAATATTGAATGGTTTTCTATTTTCGGTCCATAAATATCACTTACTGTGACCAGTGTTCTTTTTTCTTTTAAAAATTATGTCCTTGGCCAGGTGCGGTGGCTCACGCCTATAATCCCAACACTCTGAGAGCCTGAGATGGGAGGATCGCTTGAGCCCCCAGGAGTTTGAGACCAGCCTGGGCAACACAGTACAACCCTATCTCTACAAAAAATAGAAAAAATTAGCCAGGGATGGTAATGCTGCCAGAACAAAGTGGCTGTAGTCCCAGCCACTCCAGAGGCTGAGGCAGAAAGGTCACTTGAACCCGGGAAGTCAAGGCTGCAGTGAGCTGTGATCACACCACAACACTCCAGCATGGGAGACAGAGTACCTTGTCTCAAAATATATGTATATATATATCTTTAAGGATATGTGTATATATAGATATATCGTTAAAATTTTCTTTGTTAATCATGATCTCATCTCTTCTGGGGATGGAAATGAATTGAGGTGTTCTTTCAGAAAGAGCAGGTCTTGGGGAGTCCCTAAACACCAGTCTAGATGAAGGCTTCCTTCTGAAGGGATCCAGCTGGGGTGTCCCATCGAGGAGTCTGGGTTGCTCCAGGCATAGCAAGTGGCACATAGTGAGTGTTTTCCTGTAGGGACTCCTGAGGGTTGGCCATCGTGGGAGGCCCTGCCTGTCTTTAAAACTTAAAGTGTTATTCACAGAGTTGATGCCTGCCTCCTTTCCTTGTGCCTCCTCACTCTGTTCTGGCAGATCCTCAGCAGGTGAAGCCCGTGGTGACCATGTAGTAGCCTCACAAACAGCCCTGATGGATCTGCCTTTGCCTCTGTATGCTGTTTTCTTTAGAATAGCTAGTTGCCCACCGTCCCTGGTACAAACAGTCATGTGGCCAGGTGTACAGTAGCTGCCTGGGCTACCTGTATGTTGTTCTTTCTTTTTTTTTTTTTTTTTAATGGAGTCTTACTCTGTCGCCCAGGCTGGAATGCAGTGGCTTGAACTGAGTTCACTGCAATCTCCGCCCTCCGGGTTCAAGCAATCCTCCTGCCTCAGCCTCCCAAGTAGCTGGGACTACAAGCATGCGCCTTCACGCCAGCTAAATTTTTTTGTATTTTTAGTAGAAACGGGGTTTCACCATGTTGGCCAGGATGATCTCGATCTCCTGACCTCGTGATCCACCCGCCTCTGCCTTCCAAAGTGCTGGGATTACAGGTGTGAGCCACTGTGCCTGGCCAAGGGTTCAAGCAATTCCTGTGCCTCAGCCTCCTGAATAGCTGAGACTACAGGTGTGCACCACCACACCCAGCTAACTTTTGTGTTTTTGGTAGAAATGGGGTTTCACCATATCAGCCAGGCTGGTTTCATAATCCTGATCTCAGGTGATCCGCCCACCTTGGACTCCCAAAGTGCTAGGATTACAGGCGTGGGCCACTGTGCCCAGTCTTATGCATTGCTCTTTATGTGGCTCTGCCAGCCTCTCTTGCCTGTCAGAATGTCTCCTTAGCCACTCTTTCCTCAGCCACCACTCCTGGCTGGCCCATGCTGCTCTCTGGCTATTAGTGTCTCCCTTACCAACAAGCAGATCTCCGTGCCTGAGCAGTACCTAGGACTGCAAGCCTCTGTTCCTGTGCTCAGGAGATGCATCAACAATTAGATGAGAAGCCTCTGTTTTGGTTTCTCCAGCCCAAGAGTTTTTGTTTTGTGAGCTCTCCTGTTAAACATAGTGGTCATCAGCAGTTCCTCAGCTTCTCTCCAACTTCTTCCCATTCTGTTTGTGCACTGGGTCATGAAGGAACCCGAGTGCAAGACAACAGCCTGCTTGTTCCCTCTTTCTCTTCTTTTCAGTTGACTTACACACGTCCTGCTCTGGCCTGGCTTCTGGCATTCATTGTCCTGCTGTCTGTCTCACTGAGCTTTGGTCCCCTGCCCTGGGGATAAGCATGTCCTCTGTCTGCAGGGCAGAGATGACATGGAATTGGAAGCAACTATTGGGTCTCACTAGAGACCCAGGGAAATGGGTCACCTGCTCTGTGCCCTCCTTTGGGGAACTGTGTGTTTGACTCAGAGTTCCCAGGGGACTTTACACTGTGTCAGTTCTCAGTGGCTTTATGTTCCTGAAGGAATGAAGTTTTATTGTGTGTTGTGATTGAATCCAGAGCATATTAAGTTTATAATCCAGATCATTCTCTCCACAGCTTTTCTAAGGCAAGGGATTGCCTCTTGGGCTTCTCCCACTGATGTGTTCCAGCACAGCAGAGTTTACAATTCAAGGGCTTGTTGGCCCTCCCTTTTAAGGCAGAGTCTTGGGGGACTGGGATTTGGGTTTTCTGCTGTAAACTGATTAGCGCTTAGCCTGGGTCATGGAGGTCATCTTCTATTTCTGGCTCTTTAATCGAGGAATATAGCAGCCAAGTTCCTTAGTTGAGACTGTTGGGAACAGGAGGCTCCTTAAATAACAGATGCTCAGAGCCACAGGCAGCCAGGCACTAGGGCAGCAAGTAGTCTGGGTCATTTGCACAGTGCTCACCAGCTCAAGGCTTCTCAGTTAGGGGAGGTGCAGCCTGCTCTGACCAGTCACATCCTGGGAATAATTGTCTTTGTGCCTGAATTAAGCTCTTGTATTGTAAGCAAGTATAGACGTAATTGCCCTTTTACTTTTTGTAGGATATGGAACTTGGAACTCTGGGACAAACAGAGGCAAGTATCATTCCTTTGATCACTGTCTATCCTTTGGGGTTGTTCTGGCTGTTTCTCTGCTGCTGCCCTACTTGGCCGAGGTTGGGAGTGGGGAGGGGGCGTGTTTCTGGGGTTACCTGCTCCTTAACAGGAAGCCCTAATCAGAATGGCAAGGGCCAGAGCTGGGCGCAATGGCTCACGCCTGTAATCCTAGCACTTTGGGAGGCTGAGGTGGGTGGATCACCTAGGTCAGGAGTTCAAAACCAGCCAGGCCATCATGGTGAAACCCCATCTTTAAAAAAAAAAAAAGAATGGCAAGGGCCCATCCAGCCTCAGTGGCTAGGGTCTCCTGTCTCTGTGATAGAAGGTGCCCTTGTACCTGTGTTTGTCTCTGTCTGCCTCCCCTCTGCCTGCCCCCAGCATCTGTCCGTCTTTGTCTCCCTCACTGCAGGCTACGAGGGCTATGGCTATGGCTATGGCTATGGCCAGGATAACACCACCAACTATGGGTATGGTATGGCCACTTCACACTCTTGGGAAATGCCTAGCTCTGACACAAATGCAAGCACTAGTGCCTCGGGTAGCGCCAGTGCTGATTCCGTTTTATCCAGAATTAATCAGCGCTTAGATATGGTGCCGCATTTGGAGACAGACATGATGCAAGGAGGCGTGTACAGCTCAGGTGGAGAAAGGTGAGTGGAACCCCTGCCTAGGGGCTGAGGCTTTGCAGGGGTGGCTCCTGTCTGCTGCCTGCTGCCTTTTCCTTTCTCAGTGTGCCTCTGTGTCTGCTTCCTCCCCCTACTTGGTGCTGCTGTGGCTCCCAGCAGGGTCTGTTGCACTTCCCGTCTCTGACTTGTGTCTCCTCTCACCCATCCTTAACCCCTGCCACACTGCCTGGTGGTCAGCCTTTCCCCAGCTTGGAGTGGGAGGAACAAGCCCAGATCGGGCTGACTTCACTGTGCCCTCAAAAACAAAGTGTTCAGACTCCCCTCCCTCCAAGGACAGCCATTTGGAATTCTCTCAAGACTTTGCCTCCTGTGCAGTGTCAGGGCAGAACAGATGGAGTTTGGTGTGAAGGGTGGGACCAACCTTTGGGGCTGATCACTGCAAGCTGGGCCACCCCCACGTGAGGGCTGGGGCTGGTGTGGGCAATTCCTGGTTTCTCTCCTGCGCTTTACAAATGTGTGCCTGATGGAAGCACCCCTGTGAGGAACTGCTGCTGTCCTCATTTTGCAGGTGGGGAAACAGAAGTGCAGGCAGGTCATACCCCAAAGGCATGCAGCAAGTACATGGTGGGGCTGGGCCTCACGCACCAGATCTGCCCTAATCCAAAGCATCATGCTGTGGGCATTTGTCATTAACTGAACTGGACTTGGCCCAGGAGTGCTTGTGCCCAGTGTGAGGCTTCGGTGAGGAGGGCGGGTATATCTGTAGCAGGGGATAGAGTGAAGCTTCAACTAACAGATGAGTGAAAGCTGAGAGTCGGGAGTCACCTGACCAGGCACTGGTGGGGCCAAATGAGGCCCCAGGGCTGTAGTGTCAGGGCATGGGACAGGCACAAGGGGACTTGATGCCATGGGCTCTGTAACTCCTGGCCCAACAGCTGCAGCACTTGGAGCTTGGTGTATGGGGCTTGGGCTTGTGTTGCTGCTATGCACCTTCTTGCCACAGCCTGGAGCCGGGGATCGGGGTAAGCAGAGTGGTGGCAGCACCAACTGCTGCTCTTACAGCTGCTGGTGGCTCCTGGTGGCCTGGGTTTAGGAAAGAGAGTGTAAGGGGAGCCCTTGTGCTTGTGAGGTGTGTGCATTCCAGGCCTGTGGGGGTGTAGGCTGTGGGCTGCAGTCATGGTTGAAAGCTCTCTAAGTGCCCTCTGTTTCCTGGGAGGAGGTCTGGCCTGCCTTCCCAGTTGCAATATAGGGTATATAGCGTTTGGTGTCTAGCTCTGGGCTCCAGGCTTGATGTAATACAGCTCTTTTTCTTGTTCCTGGGCAAGATCTTAGTGTCCTTCCTGGGAAATACTCACCCTTTTGTCTTAGTTATTTTGGTAATGAGGAACTTTGCAGGGTTTGAAGGTTCCCCAGTCATGAGGGACAAGAACACAGTGTTTCCCATGGGCATCATCAGCCTCGTTGCTGCACATTCATTGTGCTAGAGCTGCCTGTGTCCTGAAGGGTGCTAAGGTGCTCCGCCCTGCCCCACTGGGAGCAGCCTCCAGCACTGCGGCTCCCACAGATGGTGCACATGTTCCCAAGGGCTGTGGAGCAGCTCTGCCCCTTGTTGAGACTCACGGACTAGAGCCTCCACCCCAGTTTTCAGTCCTTCTTAGGGTCCCCAAGCCAGTGTGTGGCTACATTCAAGCTTGGGGCAGTGGTGCCCATAGATAAGCTAAGAGGCTGGAACTTTTTAATTGGATTTTCTGAACATTGAGCCTCCCCACCAGGACAGGGTGGATGCTGGACTGGGAGATTGTAGGGAGGGCAGGAGGAGTCGCCTGGAGGTGAGGGACCCTGAGGGGCTCCACCTGATGCTCGCCCCATGCCTTTGCAGGTATGAATCCTATGAGGCCTGTGACTCAAGGGCCGTCCTGAGTGAGCGTGACCTGTATCGGTCAGGCTATGACTACAGCGAGCTTGACCCTGAGATGGAAATGGCCTATGAGGGCCAATACGACGCCTACCGTGACCAGTTCCGCATGCGTGGCAGCGACACCTTTGGTCCCAGGGCGCAGGGCTGGGCCCGGGATGCCCGGAGCGGCCGGCCGATGGCCTCGGGCTATGGGCGCATGTGGGAAGACCCCATGGGGTCCCGGGGCCAGTGCATGTCTGGTGCCTCTCGGCTGCCCTCCCTCTTCTCCCAGAACATCATCCCCGAGTACGGCATGTTCCAGGGAATGCGAGGTGGGGGCGCCTTCCCAGGCGGCTCCCGCTTTGGCTTTGGGTTTGGCAATGGCATGAAACAGATGAGGCGGACCTGGAAGACCTGGACCACAGCAGACTTCCGGGTGAGTGGAGGCAGCCTTCCCCTCTGGGAAGCTTAGTTCCTGCTGGGGCGGAGCTAAGGGCCAGGAACCATGCGTGCTCCCTGACACGGCTTCCCCTCTTATTGCCCAGACCAAGAAGAAGAAGAGAAAGCAGGGCGGCAGTCCTGATGAGCCAGATAGCAAAGCCACCCGCACGGACTGCTCGGACAACAGCGATTCAGACAATGGTGAGCTAGATAGGTGGTACTGGGCAGCTGCCCCATGCCTCCCAGGGGCTCCTGAGCTGAGCTTACCTCTTCCCTTTCAGATGAGGGTACTGAGGGGGAAGCCACAGAGGGACCCGAAGGGACCGAGGCTGTGGAGAAGGGCTCCAGAGTGGTAAGTGGCCCTGGCTGGGCATTTCCTGTCTGCAGGAAGGGCAAGCTGGGCTGAAGAGTGGTGCTCTCCCTGGGGGCCAGAGGCAGTGCTGTGTCAGCTCCGTGTGCACGGTGACCAGCATAGGGAGGCAGTGTGGTCTGGCAGAAAGCACAGGCTGCCAAGCTGGAAGCACAGTTTCCTTGTTGGAAAATGGGACAAGCCCCCTGTGCACCAGGTAGTGGGAGGATGTGAGGTTCCTGGCACATAGCTGAACCTTGTCATTTACAGCCATTCTAAGTAACTGGGCTACTCTGAGCCACTCTGCCTATGGGATAGCCCTGCTCTGTCTGTGGAGCAAGCAGCCATTTTGCTACACACTGTTGCTCTAATAAGCTTGGATTTTTTAAAAAGAAAAGAAAGGCACCTGTTTTAAAGTTGGAATTTGAAATTGTTAGGATGGAGAGGACGAGGAGGGAAAAGAGGATGGGAGAGAAGAAGGAAAAGAGGATCCAGAGAAGGGTGAGTTTTCCTGGGGTGCCTGGTGCTGGGGTGGCTCTTCCAGGGGTCACAGCGGGTGGGACCCAGCTGAGGGCAGGGTTGTGGCAGATATGCGACCAGCTGGGGACCTCCCTTGTGGCCCCAGGTGTGTACTGGCAGGGGGCTTTCTTTTGCCACCTCCTTCCCCTTCCCACCCTTCCCACTCTGCCTCCTTCTTCCCTGGTGGAGGCTGTGTATGGTGGTGACCCCTGCCAAGCACACTGGTTTTGCCCTCAGATGGGGGCAGTGAGTAAAAGTGTGGGGAACCCCAGGCACACCCCCTGCCCTCAGTCCCTCAGTAATGTGCAGTTCCGAGTCCTCAGTGGCTGGTGTCCGAGCTGGGACCCTCGGTGCAGTTTTTACGGCTCTGGTGTGCGTGTCCTCTCCCTTAGCGCCTCTCCAGCCCCTGTTGGGAGTCCGTGTCCCCCCACCTGAGTGATGAGCGCCAGCAGGTACCTAACAGCAAATCCAGCCTCAGCCCACTGTTGCCGCGGTGCCCGGTGGGGGGTGGGCAGGGCCATGTGAGCAGCCTCCCTGCATCCCACCACCTGGCCCCTCTGAACATGTGCCAGTGTCCCCACCAAGATAGCCCCTCTTTGCTTTCCAGCGTCCTCTTGGCCTACTGCACAGAGAGCATGGGTGTCCTGGAGAGTGGAGGGGTCAGCACCTGGCTCCCACTCCTTGGGGCCTAGGCCAAACCCACTCCCTGCCCAACCCAGGATACCCAGCCCTGCTCATGGCCAGGGGCCTTGCTTGGACACCTGTTCTCGATGGACCCTCTGGAGTGGACAGTGGGTGTTTTAGCCAGAGATCATAGGGCCTGCCCTGTACTGGTAGAGCCAAACTGGTGACAGTGCCCATCTGCTCCCACAGGGGCCCTGACCACCCAGGATGAGAACGGCCAGACCAAGCGCAAGTTGCAGGCAGGCAAGAAGAGTCAGGACAAGCAGAAAAAGCGGCAGCGAGACCGAATGGTGGAAAGGTAACCAGCTTCCCTCCACCCCTCTGCCTCTGCCTCGCTGTGGGGCTGCTGCCAGGAGAGCAGGGCCATAGCTCTGCCAGCTCGCCGCCCTCTGGCCTCCCTTGGGAGCCACCACCTGCTCAGCCGTGCATGGACCCTGCTTCCCGCCAGGCCCAGCTCCCAAGGCCTGACTCATCCCCTGCCCCTCTGCGGCCGCCTGGCGACCGCTGGCATCTGTGGCCCGAGACCCGACACTGCTCGGCACCGTTGCTCCGAAGCTCCGGCGCTAGGTCACTCGGCGCACGAACCCCAAGGTGCACTGGGGGCCTGATGCCCCTGAGGGAGGGGGCCAGCTCATCAGAGACTCAAGGTCCAAGGCGCCTGTGCCACCCCAGCTAGCTGCCAAGAGGCCGCCGCCGTGCCCAGGAGAGATGGCAGCACCTGTGGGCTGTGGCAGCCTCGGGCCTGCCCACCGGCCCTGTCAGGCCGGGCCTGTCTTCGGCTGAGCCCTTCACGCCCCTTGGTTGGGTCTGTCTGCCCTCAGGGCTCCCGCACTGGCGCTTGCCTCCTCCGCCTCAGACTCTTGCTCTTGCTGGACCTTCCTCAGCCTCGCCGGCGCCCGGCCCCTGGGCTCTCCAGACAAAGCTGACCCCGTGGCCCAGATAAGGACGTCCGGCAGAGGTAGGGACCCGCCCCGAGGTCTCGGTGGCGGCTGGCCTCCTCCGCCCCTTGCCACGGCGGCCTGCTCCGGCCCAGGCCCCAGACCCCGGGCTTCTGCTGTGGACACCAGGCCCAGACAGAGCACCTCGCCCAGGTGACTCCAGGCTGCCCTCTGGCAGGCCAGGCGGGCGCCCTCCTTCCAGCTCAGACTGGTCTCTTCTTGGAAGAGGAAGATGAGGCAGCAGGTGCCCAGGCCTGCCTGCCTCCCATCCCTCCCGACACCACCCCCAAGCATTCTGAGCAGAGGATGGGCTGGGCCTTTGAGTCCCCCAGATCCCAGAAGGACGATGCAGCACCTTTTCGGGCCCTGCCTCAGGACTGCGTACTCCACTCTGCACCTCAGTGCCACCTGGCTCATGCCAGGGCGTCCTTCCTTCTGGTCCCCACCTGGGCCAAGTGCACACGCTCCCGCCCAGCCTTGGTAGCGAGGCCCTCCATCAACCTTCCAGCGACTCGTTGCCTGTTGCAGCAGCTGCTGTCTCAGGCTTCAGCCTCCTGCCTGTGGGAAGGAAGAGCTCCTCCCCTGTCCCCTACGTGGCAGTATCTGCAGACTGCAGACTTTCTGGCCCTTTCTACTCCCAACCCCACTGGTCCCAGCCTGTCCCTCTGCTGGGACGGTACTTCAGAAGCCCGTGAGCAAGGCCTATTTCAGGGCTTGTGTCTGGGTTGGGTGAGGCGGCATCAGTGTCCTCTGGGACACTTGCAGCCTCAGCCCCTTGTTTCCTTCCTGTGGCAGGATCCAGTTTGTGTGTTCTCTCTGCAAATACCGGACCTTCTATGAGGACGAGATGTCCAGCCACCTAGACAGCAAGTTCCACAAGGAACATTTTAAGTATGTAGGCACCAAGCTCCCTAAGCAGACAGCCGACTTTCTGCAGGTGAGCCTTGGAGTAACAGCCGCTCTTAGTTTCTTGGACCCCTGAGAACAGAAGGCGGCCCACACAAACCTCTGTATTCCTTGCAGGAGTACGTCACCAACAAGACCAAGAAGACAGAGGAGCTCCGAAAAACTGTGGAGGACCTTGATGGCCTCATCCAGCAAATCTACAGAGACCAGGATCTGACCCAGGGTGAGGAGATTCTAGCCCACTCCCACCAGGCAAGGCCTCAGCCCGCCCTCCTGATTCTCTGTCCAGGGTCAGAGAAGGGTATCCCTTCTCTTCCCCCAGGGAAGGTCAGGAGAACAGCCTCAGCTCAGGCCCAGGTGGAAGTGGCAGGGCGAGTTGAGGAGGAGCTGGTGTGTTTTTTTTTTCTCAAACACCTGGATCTGTCTTAGGCACCTGGGCCCAGTGGTGACTCCCTTCTTCCCACTACAGAAATTGCCATGGAGCATTTTGTGAAGAAGGTGGAGGCAGCCCATTGTGCAGCCTGCGACCTCTTCATTCCCATGCAGTTTGGCATCATCCAGAAGCACCTGAAGACCATGGATCATAACCGGAACCGCAGGGTGAGTGGCCACAGTGCTCTCCCTCTGTCCTGTGGGTAGATTGAGTGAGACCTCTGAGGAGGTTGTGCAGTTAGGGCCTCTGCCTGCCCATGAGGGACTGCAGTGGAGGCAGGAGCAGGTGGATGTGGACATTTCTAGCCCAGTACAGGCAGCACAGCTACAGAGAGAGGGGTGGGAGATGGGGACTCTGCCTGGTAGAAGGTGATGTATTCTGTGTGATGTGGGGACCTCCATGTGCATAGGGGCCAGCGCCAGAATAGGTTCAGAAACCAAATGGAGGTGATACAGTGTAAGTGTTGCTGGAGGAGGGAGTTGGGCTTGAGGCTTAAAAGAGCTGCACTGAGAGGCCTGGGCTTTTTCCTGTAACCAGTGAAGTTTCAAGTGTGGGATTAACAGGATTAGAGTTGGTATTGAACTAGAGACTTCAGGCCTGCACCTGGGTGGGGTGGTGAGGGCCAAGGAGGAGCTGCTGCAGTCTCCAGATGAGAAGAGACCTCACCTTGGGAGTGAAGGAGAGGAGAGCAGTTGAAGGAAAGGAGCAGGAGGTCAGCATGTGGGCGTGACCACGAGCCTGTGGTGACTCTGGTTTCTGACTTGGGGAACCGGGAGGACAGTGGTGCTGCCGAGATTGTCACGGACAAGGGAGTAGTGGGGAAGTATGTTGCGGGGCAAGGAGAACATATGGCAAGAAAATGAGCAAATTATTCTCATTTTCCAGTGTAGCCTCAATGCCTAGCACACAAGCCAGAGTAGGTGTCTTTTGTTTGAATGGATGGCATGCTGGGTTGGAGGTGGGGGTAAAGGGGCTGTCTATCAGGGGAGAGCCAAGAGGCCCAGGACCAGGTCTGGGCCAAAAGAGGCTTGGCTGTCTTCACCCCCAAGAAGAGTGATGGGGTTTATGAGCAGATGTTAGCATCCAAGGTGAGCGTGGGAAGCAGCATTTCTCCACCTTTTTCCATGCTCATCACAATGCCTCTCTAGTCTTTTTCAGTGTGATGATTCTGAACAGTGGACAGAGTCAGGAGTCTCTCTGGCTTGGGTAGTTGCAGAGACTCAGGATTGGGAAATGCCACCAAGAGGTCTGGGAAGATAAGGAAATTGTCAGTTGGCTTTGGGAACAGAGAAGCTTTAGGGAACTTGCCAAGAACAGATTCTTGTGCTGGGAACTAGTAGGGGTTAGAGAGAAGATTGCAGAGGATGGAAACTATATATAATTAATAAAAGTTGGAAAATCCAGGGGAAGTGATAGTTAGCAAAATGTAAACTCAAAATTGATCCTAAAAGAAGTTAAAAAAAAGAAAAAAACCACCATAGCAGCTCATAATCATAGAGGGGTTTGGAAGGATGATAAAAGATATTTGGGGGCCGGGCGCGGTGGCTCACGCCTGTAATCCCAGCACTTTGGGAGGCCGAGGTGGGTGGATCACGAGGTCAAGAGATCAAGACCATCCTGGTCAACATGGTGAAACCCCGTCTCTACTAAAACTACAAAAAATTAGCTGGGCATGGTGGCGCGTGCCTGTAATCCCAGCTTCTCAGGAGGCTGAGGCAGGAGAATTGCCTGAACCCAGGAGGCGGAGGTTGCGGTGAGCCGAGATCGCGCCATTGCACTCCAGCCTGGGTAACAAGAGCGAAACTCTGTCTCAAAAAAAAAAAAAAAAAAAGGATATTTGGAGGGCATCAGAAGTTATTGGTTTACAGAGCTAATTTGAATACAGTTTAAATACTGTATTTTTTTTGGAACTCCAGACTATAGAGATGAATGGAAAGCTTCTAATTATTATCGTTATCTTTGATAACAGCTTTACTGAGATATAATCACATACTGTACAATTCACCCATTCAAGGTATACAATTCAGTAGTCTTTGGGCTGGGTGCGGTGGCTCATGCCTGTAATCCCAGCACTGGGAGGCCAAAGCAGGAGGATCGCTTAAGGCCAGGAGTTTAAGGTTTTATGTTTACAGTAAGTTATGATTGCACCACTGCAGTCCAGCCTGGGGGACAGAGCAAGACCCTGTCTCAAACAAATGGAAAAACCAATTCATCAGTTTTTTATGTATTCACAGAATTTTACAGTCATCAACCAGTCAAGTACAGAATATTTTCATCACCTCAAAAAGAAACCCTTTAGCTATGAGCCGCCCAACCTCTTGTCCTCATATAGCCTTAGACAGCTACTAATCTCTCTCTATTTGCTTATTCTAGACACTTCTATAAACAGAATCACATAACATGTGGTCTTCAGTGATTGGCTTCTTTCACTAAGCATGATGTTTTCGGGGTTCAACTACATTGTAGCGTGTATTACAGCTTCATTCCTTCATATGGCTTCATATTATTCCATTGTATAGATCGATATGCCACATTTTGTTTATCCATTCATCTTTTTGAGCATTTGAGTTGTTTCCACCTTTTAGCTATTATGAATAATGCTCTTAGAAACATTGTGCAAGTTTTTATGTGGACATATGTTTTCATTTCTCTTGAGTATATAACTAGGACTGAAATGTCTGTATCAAATAGTAATACTTTAACTTGTTGGGGGAACTGCCAGACTATTTTCCAAAGTGACTGCACTATTTTACATTTCCACCAGCACTCTGTAAGGGTTCCGATTTTTTCACATACTCACCAACACTTATTTTCTGACCTTTTGATCTAGTCATCCTAGCGGGTGAGAAGTGGTATCATTGTGGTTTTGATTTGCATAGCCCTGATGACTAATGGCGTCTTTTCATGGGCTGATTGGCCATTTTTGTATCTTTGGAGAAATGTCTATTCAAGTTCTTTGTGCATTTTTAAATTGTGTTGTCTTTTTGATTTATTAGAGTTCTTTATTCTATATACAAGTCCCATATTTGATATGATTTGCAAATATTTTGTCCCATTCTGTGGGTTTTTTCACCTTCTTGATGTATCCTTTGTAGCACAATCGTTTAATTTTCATAAAGTCCAATTTATTTTTCTTTCATTGCTTATTCTTTGGGTGTCATAACTAAGAATTTATTGATAAATCCCAAGTCACAAAGGTTTGCCCGTATGTTTTCTTGTAAGAATTTTATGGTTTTAGCTTTTACAGTTAGGTCTTTGTTCCATTTGAGTTTATTTATTTATATAAGTTAAGGGTCTAACTTTATTTTTTGCATCTAGATATTAAGTTGTTCCATCACCATTTGAAAAAGAAATGAGACTGTTTTTCCCCCATTGAAGGACCTTGGCATCTTTGTTGAAAGTTAGTTAACCATAGCCATGTAGGTTTACTCTCAATTCTATTCCACTGTTCTGTATATCTGTTTTTATACCAGTTTGTACTGTAGCTTTGTTACTAAACTTTGAAATCAGGAAATTCGAGCACTTCAACTTTATTCCTCTTTTTCAAGATTGTTTTGGTTATTCTGTGCTCCTTGGATTTCAATGTGAGTTTAGGAGCAGCTTATCAGTTTCTCCAAAGAAGCCAGCTGGTATTCTGATAGGATTGTGTTCGATTTCTAGATCAATTTGGTGAGTATTGACATCTTTACAATATTAAGTCTTGTAATCCATGAATATGGGATGTCTTTTCATTTACTGAGATCTCCTTTAATTTCTTTCAAATGTTTTGTAGTTTTCAGAATATAAACTCTGTTCTTTAGTGTTGTTAAAATTATTTATAAGTATTTTATTTCTGTTACTGTTATAAATGGAATTGTTTTCTTAGTGTTTTTGGATTTTTTTTTTTTTTTGGCATGTGTTTAAAAATACCATTTGTTTTTTTTCAAGTAGGGTCTTATTCTGTTACCCAGATTGGAGTGCAGTGGTACCATCATGACTCACTGCAGCCTCTAACCTCCTGGGCTCAGGTAATCCTCCTGCCTCAATCTCCCTAGTAGCTGGAACTACAGGCATGTGCCACTATGCTCAGCTACTTTTGGTATTTTTTGTAGAGATAGGGTTTCATCATGTTGCCTAGGCTGGTCTCAAACTCCTGGGCTCAAGCAGTCCTCCTGCCTCAGCTTCCCAAAGTGTTGGGATTACAGGTGTGAGCCACTGTGCTCAGCCAATATATTGATATTATATCCTACAACCTCACTGAACTATTCATTTTTACTGTTTAATAGTTTTAATAATATTTAAACTATGACTGGACATTGAGGCTCATATCTGTAATCCTAACACTTTAGGAGGTAGAGGTGGGAGGATCACTTGAGCCCAGGAGTTTGAGACCAGCATGGACAACATAGTGAGACCCTCTCTGTACAAAAGAAACAAGTTAGCCAGGTGTGGCGGCAATTGCCTATAGTCCCCACTATGCAGGAGGCTGAGGTAAGATGGCTTAAGCCTAGGAGGTTGAGGCTGCAGAGAGCTATGATCATACCACTGCACTGCAGCATGCGTGACAGAGCAAGACCCTGTCTCTAAAAAATAAAAACATAAAATAATGTTTATTAGTTCTAATAGCTTTTAGGGGATTTCTTAGGGGTTTCTTTGTACAACATCAGTCATCTGCAAATAGAGTTAGTTTTGCTTTTTCCTTTTCAATCTAGTTGCATTTTATTTCTTTTTCTTACCTAATTGCCCTGGTTAGAACCTCCAATACAGTATTGAATAGAAGTGTGAAAATGGATGTCCTCGTCTTCTTTCTCATCTTACAGGGAAAGCACCAGTCTTTACCATTTGTATGATGTCAGCTGTGGGTTTTTCATAGGTGCCCTTGATTGAATTGAGGAAGTTCCCTTTCTAGTCCTGTTTTATTAAATGTTTTATCCTAAAATGGTGTTGGATTTTGTCAAATGCTTTTTCTCCCTCTGTTGAGGTGATCATGTGGCTTTTGTCTTTAATTCTGTTGTTACGGTATGTTACATTATTTTATTTGGATATAAACCACCCTTGCATCGCTGGGATATATCCTGTTTGGTCACAGTGTGTAATTATTTTTATATATTAGATTCGTTGTGCTGGTATTTTGTTGAGAATTTTTGCATCTCTATTCATAAAAGATAATAGTCTGTAGTTTTTTGGTGATACAGTTTTCTGGTTTGGGTATCAAGTTAATTAATACTGGCCTCATACAGTTAGCTGTCATTTTTCTTCTTTTTCTGGTTTCTTGAAAGAGTTTGTGAAGAACTAGTATACTAGTATTAATTCTTCAAGTGCCTGTGAAGCCATCTGGGCCTGGCTTTTGTTAACTAGCTTTTTTTTTTTTTTGAGACAAGGTCTCTGTCGCCTAGGCTGGAATGCAGCAGTGTAATCTCGGCTCACTGCAACCTCCACCTCTCAGGCTCAGGCAGTCCTTCCACCTCAGCCTCCCAAGTAGCTGGGACTAAAGGCATGTGTGTTGCCATGCCTGGCTAGTTTTGGTAGTTTTTTGTAGAGATGGGGTTTTGTCATGTTACCCAGACTGGTATCAAATTCCTGGACTCAAGCGAATCTGCCTGCCTTGGCCTCCCAAAGTGCTGGGATTATAGGCGTGAGCCACTGTGCCCAGCCAGTTAACTAGCTTTTCTTTTTATTATTACTAATCAGTCTCCACTTGTTATAGGGTATATTCAGATATTCTGGGTTTTTTAGACATCTTAGTTTTAGTGATTTGTGTCTGTCTAAAGAGTTCCCTGTTTTAACTTTTTTTTAAAAAATAAAGACAGGGTCTTGCCACTATAGGTGTGAGCCACAGCGTCCCTCTGAGAAGTCAGCTTTTACCCTTACTGGGGTTTCCTTGTGATGATTTGTCTCTGTCTTGCTGCTTTCAAGATTTTTCCCTTGTCTTTGACTCTTAGCATTTTTATTATCTCTTTTTGTGCATCTCTCTGTGTTTATTCTACATGGAGTTTGTTGAGCTTCTTTGATGTACAGATTACAGTTTTCATTAACCTTCGGAAGCTTTCAGCTGTTGTTTCTTCAAGTGTTTTTTTTTCCTACTCCTTTCTCTCATTCCTCTTCTGATACTTATTACCCGTATGTTGGATCTCTTAATAGTGTGCCATGGTTGTCTAAGACTGTTCATTTTTCCTCACTTTTTTCTCTCTGTTCTACAGATTACGTAATCTCTTTTGATGCACAGATTCACATTTTTCGTGTCAGTTATTGTACATTTCATCTCTAAGATTTAATATTTTATTATAATTTCTATCTCTGTTTAAATTGTTTTCATGAGACAGTGGCGTACCTTCTACTTGAGTTTTCTTTAAACATATTTATAATTGCTAATTTGAAATCTTTGTTGAAGTTGACATCTGATCACTGTCACAGGAAGTTTCTATTGTCTGCTTTTTTTAATTTGAGCCTGGGTCAGAGTTTCCTTTGGATGTCTTGTAATTTTTGATTGTTAACTAGACATCTTAGATAATTCATTGTCGCAGCTCTGGGCACTGATCCCCCACCCACCCTCACAGGGTCTTGTTTCTATGTTTGCCTATCTATTTGTTTGGTAAGTAGCCAGATATTTTTAGTGAGGTCTCTTTCATCCTCACACAGTATGAAACTGGTGATGTGTCTTGGAGGGAGGAAGCCATGGGCTCACTGTTTTTTTCCTGGACTATACTCAGCTTTTAAACTCTACCAATTACTGGCTGATTCCTTTATTGTTTTCAACAATGTTTTGGGGCATAGATTGCTGCCGAATGCTGATCCAATTAAATTTGGGCTCCTTTATAGGGATGGCTTCTTGTTACTGTTATTGTTTCTCCCCCAATACAAAGTCTTGCTCTGTCACCCAGGCTAGTGTGCAGTGGCGCAATCTCAGCTCACTGCAACATCTGCCTCACCGGTTCAAGCAGCTCTCCTGCTTCAGCCTCCTTAGTAACAGGGATTACAGGTACACACCACCATGTCTGGCTAACTTTTGTATTCTTAGTAGAGACAGGGTTTCACCATGTTGGTCAGACTGGTCTCAAACTCTTGACCTCGTAATCTGGCCGCCTCAGCCTCTCAAAGTGCTGGGATTACAGGCGTGAGCCACTGCGCCCAGCCCAACAGGGATGGTTTTTGAGTTTGTTTGAGATTTATTCTGAACCCAGGGAGGCTGTTTTAGCTGTTTTACTGGTCTTGGTCCTCTTTGGTAACCTAGTTGGCCTGTGGGTTAGCTAGTACTACTATCAAATCTATGGGTCTTTCTTTTTTATGACTGTGTAGTAGGAAAAAAGAACAAAGCTATCAGTGTCCTTTTAAATTTTTTTCTCCCTGGTCTCCATTGTTTTTAAGCAAGTCTCTAGTCTTGCACTTCCCGACACTCTTGCCAATGAAGTCAGTTCCTTTGAGAAGAGATTGGGAGTTTACTGATTTAAGGACCTTCTCTCACTCTGGGCAGAATCTCTGAGCCATCTGGGGATGGAGACAATGGAGTGCCTCTCTTTGAGTGACTGCCACTTTAGGAGAGATATAAGAGGAGGTACAGTGGGCTGTAGCCTCTGCTTGGTTTGCCTTTCCTGGCATGGGACCACGGTTTTATGAACAAGCCAGAGGTATGTGAGCCCAGAGGAGTCAGAAGCAGGAGAATTGTTTGAACCAGGAGGCAGAGGTTACAGTGAACCGAGATCGCACCAGTGCACTCCAGCCTGGGTGACAGAGCAAGACTCCGCCTCAAAAAAAATAAAAAACAAAAACAAATGCTGAACCAGCAAAATATTCTTAGAATTAATAGAATTTGGTAAGGGGATAGGATTCAAGATAGCATAGAAAAAGTAGTAGTGTTTCTCCATTTTAGTACTAACCAGTTAGAAATTTAAATGGAAAAAAAAAAAGAGACTTAAATAAACTACACAATGTATAAAATAGCTAAGAATACAGATTTAAGAAGAAAGACTTGAGGGTTGGGCGCGGTGGCTTATGTCTGTAATCCCAGAACTTTGGGAGGCTGAGGCGGGTGAGGGAAACCTGTCTCTACTAAAAATACAAAAAATTAGCTGGGCGTGGTGGTGGGCACCTGCAATCCCAGCTACTCAGGAAGCTGAGACGGGAGAATCACTGAAACCCAGGAGGCGCAGGTTGCAGTGAGCCAAGATCTTGCCATTGTACTCTAGCCTGGGCAACAAGAGTGAAATTCCGTCTTTAAAAAAAAAAAAAGAAGAAGAAGAAAGAGTTGAGATCTTTAACAACTACAAATACTCCAAGAATATGAAATAAGATCTTAATGAACGGAGGAATATTCTGTATTCTTAAATGGGAGATTTAACAGTAAAAGAAAACAAAAAACAGTTATCTCCAAATTAATACAGACAGTACATTTCCAGTCAAAATCTAGGTCGGGGAGGGGGACCAAATAAAATGAAGTGAAATTATTTTCAAGTTTTGCATTGTAGAATTCAGTCTAACAATAGTTGAGAGACTTGATTTAGAAAATATTAAAACTTGCCAGCCATGGTGGCTCACGCCTGTAATCCCAGCACTTTGGGAGGCCGAGGCGGGTGGATCACGAGGTAAAGAATTCAAGACCAGTCTTAACAACATGATGAAACCCCGTCTCTACTAAAAATACAAAAGTTAGCCGGGTGTGGTGGCATGCTCCTGTAGTCCTAGCTACTTGGGAGGCTGAGGCAGGAGAATTGCTTGAACCCAGGAGGCGGAGGTTACAGAGAGCCAAGACCACACCACTGCAGTGCAGCCTGGGCAACAGGGTGGGACTTCGTCTCAAAAAAAAAAAATTAAAACTTACTACAAAGCTACTGCAATTAAAAACCAAAAAAGGTGATACTAACACGGTAATGAAACAGTAGAACCAGAACAGAGATACTAGCAACAGGGCCCAGTATGTTTCAGACTTAGTAATTTGTTAAAGTTGGTATAGGTATCTGAAACCTTCGGGCTAGATGCTTCAGAATTAATTTTTGGGTTTCAGAAAGCCAATATGCAAGGCTGGGCACAGTGGCTGACACCTGTAATCCCAGCACTTTGGGAGGCTGAGGTGGGAGAATTGCTTGAGCCCAATAGCTCCTGACCACCTTGGACAACATAGTTAGACCTCGTCTCTACAAAAAATAAAAAAGTTACCCAAGCATGTGGTAAGTGCCTGTAGTCCCAGCTACTCAAGAGGTTAGGGTGGGAAGATCACTTGAGCCCAGGAGTTTGAGGCTGCAGTGAGTTGTGATCACACAACAGCAGTGCAGCCTGGGCAACAGAGTGAGACTCCCATCTCTAAAATAAAATAAAAAGACAGGCAATATGGTATGAACACTAACCTCTCCAACAGGATCTGGGGGAAGTGCCTTGTAGTTGAATTATCAATAATTCTTCACGTGACTTATATGAATGGAATAAATAAAAATGTAATGGCCGTTCATATTTAGCCACCAAATGAATGGTGGGGGAAAACTTGTTTTCTAGAGCCTTTGGACTTCCAATTCATAGTTAAGCAACTATAGACCTATATTCCAATTTGGTAGGTTTGTTTTGTACATTTCTGGAAAAGAAAATTTCGGACCCTGTACCTTGTTAACATAATTAAGTTCATTCCTCATCTGAAAATCTGAAATCCAAAACCTTTTGTTTGTTTGTTTTAAAGAGAGTCTTGCCATGTTGTACAGTGGCTGGTCACGGGTGAAATCATTGCACGCTATAGCCTTGAACTCCTGAACTCAAGCGATCCTCCTGCATCAGCCTCATGAGAGTAGTTGAGACTACAGGCATGAGCCACTGTGCCCAGTAAAATCTGACTTTTTTAGCACAGATATGACAAAGTAAATGGTCATTAGGACATTTCAGATTTTGGGTTTTTTGGAGTAGGGATGCTCAACTGGTAAGTATAATGCAGATATTCCAACATCTGAAACACTTCTGGTCATAAGCTCTTTGGATAAAGGATACTCAATCTGTATCAAATTCCAGAAAATTTCGTTGGGCGTGGTGGCTCACACCTATAATCCTAGCACTTTGGGAGGCTGAGCTGGGTGGAGTGCCTGAGCTCAGGAACTCAAGACCAGCCTGGGCAACATAGGAAAACCCTGTGTCTACTAAAAATACAAAAAAATTAGCTGGGTTTGGTGGCGCAGGCCTGTAGTCCCAGCTACTCAGGAGGGTGAGGCATGTGAATTGCTTAAACCTGGGAGGCAGAGATTGCAGTGACCTGAAATCATGCCCCTGCACTCCAGCCTGGGTGACAGAGCGAAACTCTGTCTAAAAAATAAATAAATAAAACCAGGATCAGAAAATATTTACAAGATTCTGAACTCTGGGTAGGTGGTCCAGTGTGCATATTGGAACACTCAGTTGCCTGTGGGCAGGGAAATGCCATGGGAGGCAGCAGCATACATTCTTTCATCCACAGCAAAAATACCCAAAAATGATAACACCCAGTGCTGATGGGCAGGCAGGAGGACCAGTTCATTGTTTTAACACTGGTGGAAGAAGCATTACTTGCAAATGTTTTGCAGTTAATTGGCCACTATTACTTTGAAACCATACCTGGTTAGAATTAAAAGCACCAGCATGGAAGTATACAAGTTTATTCTGGTGTTGCTGGGTTATTGTGGAGAAAATCTGGAAACGACATAAATTTGCCTCAGTTGGGAGGATTTATGGTATGGTCATCTGGGCATCTAGACCCAGGAGAACAAAGTGTTGGCAAGTGAGAAAGTTGCTGAGGAACGGTCTATAGTAGCATTCTAATTGTGCATCTTTAGTTTGTCATAAGCATGTACGATGTCTGTTAATATTTTCCTCCAGTAGTAGAGAAAAACGTGCTAAGAAAAAAAAATGAAGATGGAGAGAGTAGAAACAGCAAGTGGGAAGGCTTTCTGAATGTATGATTTATTTAACCTCTTCTGCACTGAAGAACGTTTAGGTGTTTTCCCGTTTTTCGCCACTACAATCAGTGTGCACGCATGTATCCAATTCTTAAATTTAGGATTGTTCTGGGAAGGGATTAATGAGAGATTTTTATTTTTCATACATTCTTTCAAATTGCTTTCCAAAAAAATAATGGAAATAGTTGATCCTCCCACCAGCAGAGAAGAGTCTCTAACCTTGCATGACTGGGAAGAATTCTTCATTCTTGGAATTCTGTGGGTTAAAAGGACGCTTCATTAAATGTTCCTGCTTTTACATCCTCCCCGTTGGTCCCAAAGTGCTCCTTGCCTGTTAGCCTAGTTGTCTCCTTGATACGGGTTTTGCACTTTTAGTTCTTAGCTTGTTGATTTGTTCGCTGCTTATAGCTGTTTTGTAAGCAAATCAGAATTCTGTAATACAGCCATAAAAACATACAAAGATCTATAGAGCTATATTTTTAATCACCTATAGTAATTGTGGTGTGGAAGGAGAGGGAATTTGAACAAAAATCAGATAGATCGTGGTTCCCTGCTTGTAGAGTGGCTCTTCGTTGGGAGGGCTGCGCCCCAGGTGTAAGTGCGTGGGTGTGGGGGCAGGAAGGTCCCTCTGAGCTGGCAGGGTGGGGGTGGGGGATTACAGGGCACCTAGAGCAGCCTCTCCAGCCCCTTCTGCCCTGCCTGCAGCTCATGATGGAGCAGTCCAAGAAGTCCTCGCTCATGGTGGCCCGCAGTATCCTCAACAACAAGCTCATCAGCAAGAAGCTAGAGCGCTACCTGAAGGTGAGCCGCTGGTCCCGGGCTGGCCCTGTCCCCAATCCAGTCCCCGCCTGTGCTCCATCCGTTCAGCGTCCGCGCCCCTCCCTGCAGGGCGAGAACCCTTTCACTGACAGCCCCGAGGAGGAGAAGGAGCAGGAGGAGGCTGAGGGTTGCGCCCTGGACGAGGGGTCGCAGAGCGAAGCGGCAGGGATCTCGGAGGGTGCAGAGGGAGCGCCGGCGCAGCCCCCCGTTCCCCCAGAGCCGGCCCCAGGGGCTGCGTCGCCACCACCACCGCCGCCCCCAGAGGAGGAGGAGGAGGAGGAAGGCGCAGTGCCCCTGCTGGGAGGGGCGCTGCAGCGCCAGATCCGCGGCATCCCGGGTCTCGACGTGGAGGACGACGAGGAGGGCGGCGGGGGCGCCCCGTGACCTGAGCTCGGGGCGGGAGGGGCCCGCGGGGCCGAAGCTGGAAACCAAACCTAATAAAGTTTTCCATCCCACTTCCCGCTTTCTCGGTGACTGTCCCGCGCCGGCGGGGCGGGGCGGGGCGGGGCGGGGCGGGGCAGGGCTGGGGCAGAGAAATTATGTGCACATGCGCAGAGGTTGCGCCCTCAGGCACAGCAGCGGCACCACAGCTACCGATACGCTGCGGAAGCGGATTCTGAGCAGCCCGAAAGGCCAGATGGGACGGCGGGGCGGGCCTTTGTGAAGACCTGCCAATGGGAGCGCGCGGAAGTAGTGACGTGCGCGCCTGATCTTCTAGTAGTCAACGGTGGAGGTGCGTTGAACGCATGCGTCCTGTGGCCGCCTAGTAAAAGGGGTTGCTGGTGGGTCGCGCAGAAGCCATGGACCAGGGCTACGGAGGTTTGTTTTGGCCGCTGGGCGCGGAGCGGGGAGGAAAAGCGCTGTGCGGGCGGCGCAGCCGCAGCGCAGACGGCCGCGGGCCAGGCCTTCGTCCCGAGCGTGGTTGCCGCAGCCGGGACCTACGGAGAGGAGGTCGGGGCGCGCGCGCGGGCGCGCCGCTCATTGGGTTTTGGCGCCGTCGCTCACGGGGCGCTGCG